CGTGACTTGGGGGAAGGGAATATTATGCGATTGTGCGATATCAAAGATGAAATTCATCGTCGTACGAATTTTTATTGATCGGAATAATAGCGAATTGAATCGTCATCACGTCATCCTTACCTACTGAGAAGAATTAACGGGCTTTCTCGCTTTTATTAGATTCACCTGTATGTATTAATGTTTGGATGGATGTATGTATGTCATACCTATGCTGAAATCAGTTCCCATTGTTCTCAGTAGTATCAACTTACCAGCGATAACAATTCCTCAGAACATGATCTTGACCTTGAAGTCAGCATCCGCAGAAATGGAATATAATATCTGCTGACGCTGGCATCAGCATTATTTTTAATATAAATTCATTTCATATTGTATCAAAAGCCAGTCTTGAAATAAAGCTATCATTGTATAAACTTAATCTATGCCGGAATAAATAAAATTGTTTTTAAAAAGTCTATTTCGAAAACCACGAGATAACATGTATGTATCTATGTAACCGACTCCTCTGGGAAACAGGGCAACATCCCAGAGTAAACAGCCTTAGCCCTGTGCAGGGGGCACCACAGGGCTGGACCAACCCCTTCCCCCGTCACTCGAAGGAGAAGGAAAACTTTTGGCCTTCTTCGTAGAACAGGGATCGGAAGAGCAATCTTCAGGAACCTGAACGAAAAGGGTGTTTCATATTGAAGTGGCCCTTAATAGGCACCATGAGTCGTATGTGGTAAAATTGATAACGGCATGTAGGTGAGATACAATGGGCCACTAGGCCTAAGTGTCGTCGGAGCCTACAAACGGGGTGGAGTGTTTAGTGGGTATATCTTGGAGGGGACTCCCACACTATCATATGGGGGATTGGACCCATATGATGTCTATAAAAGATTTCAACCACCTCGGCGAAAAAAAAAAAAAAAAGAAAAAAAAAACGACTCCTGATTTGGGCTTGATTTTGACCCACTTTTCAAACGAACCGATTTGAAATTTGGCGGGTGTTCACACAGAATTATTCTTATGAAATCATCAATCATAACTGTATTCAATTTGTTACACATATCTCCACGAATTCTAAAGACAGGATGTTGTAATATTAATAATAATAAATCATTTATTTTCCTTTTGACAATACAAATATTATATAGGAATAGTCAAATGGTCAGAATCGAAGATTCATAATGAGAAAAATTCTCCTACACTGTAAAAACATTTATCTACTAAAAAAGTTCTAATCCTACGTTTGAACAAAGATATAAAATCACTATTTTTTATTATGTCAGGTAAATGATTGAACATTTTGGGCCCAATATAGTTCGGAGCAACATAAGTTATTTTGAATTTAGCAATTTTAGTATATGATACATGATATGTTCAATATCAGAATGATCTTTATTGATGTAATAAAATGATTAAGTCTATCTTCGATATTTGAATTCGTACAACCTTGTGATTGCAACAAAGCATCCATTGTATCTTGCAATTTTTTCAACTTGTCATCGAAATCTGATTTCATATCAGAGATCGACTTTTTAGTAGTCTCTTCAAGCACCTTTACAGCATCTTGCGTCGAAGATATGGTAGACTCAATGGGAAGTAATTTTGATTCAATGTCTTCACTCGAATCACCTTTATATTTCTTCGAACCCTTCGGCATTGTAACGATATTCTGCAGTACACTATTGAATTACCGACTGCGCCATGATATGTTCAATATCAGAATGATCTTTATTGATGTAATAAAATGATTAAGTCTATTGACAATTCAAATGTACATCTCTGACATCATCTGTCTAAAATACAGAGTGATACTCCAACAATACATGAAAAAGATTTTTGCGTCTTGTATCAATTTCATGAATAGCGCTATTTACTAAAAAATTTTGTTTGTTTTCAAATACATGTACAAATGTTTCAAATATAAGGATGCAAAGCAATGTTAGAATATGAAACTGAAGAAACAAATGATTAAAAAATGTTGCTGATTTTCATCAAGCACAAAACGTAAATTCTTGATAGCCAGAGAATACAATTTTGAAACTAACTGAGAACATTGAGATTTCCAATCCAAATACTCGAAATTTATCCCTAAAAATTTTACTGGACCAATAGTATTTTCAAAAATATAGTTATTATGGTCGAAAACAAGTTGATCTGTCTTATTCTGACGATGATGAAATCTGATGATTTGTGTCTTTTCAACGTTGATAAAAAATAGATCATTATCATTGAAATAATCAGATGCTAGACTTACAGAATTACTACATTTTTCGACCACAGAGAGCGAATCAGGAGCCGATACAGTCAGAGAAAAATCATCTGCATAAGCAGTGTAGTTAATTTTATTAAGAACGGAATCAATTTGATTGACATATAGTATGAATGTGTATACAAATTAAACATAAGAAATCAAGCAACTAAACCGAGCATTTTTGTATAGAAGTAAGTTAAGTTGAATGATCTAACTTTTGGTCTCAGGGGTCTATGGTCTATGGTATCATTTTGTACAGACCTTTCAGGGACACCCTGTATATACTCCGTGATTATGATTCTTTCGTCAAAATTTGAAAATTCAAGATGGGGGGATCGACTATGGCGAACGAGTTTAGTAATAATGATCCGATTCCATAGGAAAACTGGTACCATGGAGTTTTCGGGGTCGAAGATTATGAGTCTTTCGTCAAATTTGGGAAATTAGAGTTAGCGATTCCAATATGGCGGACGAGGTTCGGAATTATGTGCTAATTCTATTTTGAATTGGGATCTGGAGATTTTTGGGATCGGAGATTATAATGCTTTTGTCAATATTGGAATTTCGAGATGGCGGTTTCAATTCAAAATTAGTATCTGGGAGTTTTCGGGGTCGGAAATTATGATTCTTTCGTCCAAATTGGGAAAATCAATATGGCGGATCCAATATGGCGGACGGGTTTTGTAATGATGATATTCTATTAAAAATTCGTATCTAGTGGCTTTCGGGGTCTGAGATTAGGATTCTTTTGTCGAAATTGGGTATTATCACAAAAAATATAAAAAATCTGAAAAAACTGAAGAAACACGTGTTTATAGATATAGCTAAACTAAAAAGAAGTAGATAATAAAATGATGAAAGTGTGTGCGTGATTACGAAGATGCTAATATTTTCCATGATGTGTATTTATCAACACACTTTCATTATTTTATTTACTATATTTTTTTAATTTGACTATCTACAGGGTGTTTCATAATTGAATGTCAATATTCGAGGAGGCGATTCTTGGGCCCATTCTAAGAAGAAAGTTTCATATGAACATATGACCTAAACATCCCAACTTTTGAGATACAGGGTGGTAAAATTCTCGAAAATTAATATAGCCTACTACAATGAGAAGTGATAATTCCAAAATACCAAATATGAATACGAAGTTCATAAACTATGAATTGTATTTCTGAAATTTGATCTAAGAAATAAAATCTAGTTCTCTGCATTGTGATATTGTCATATTAACGATATTGCTATAATCATGTAGTAAAAAGCTTGTTATATTTTTAAGCGAAAACCGTGCATCAGATTGAAAAAATTGTAGTGATCAAATTTGCTTAGAAATGTTTGGGAATTTCAGGAATGATTTCAATTTGGAGATTAATCAGTGGCGTACCATTAATGTCTGCCAAAATAGGTATGTGAAATTCCATACGAACGCCACTGGTGGCAACAACAAAAAATGTGGTACGCTTACTGATGCATCTTGATACATAGTACATGTATGCCAAATTTCATCAGAATATCTGAAGTGGTATTACAGATATTAATAAAAAACTATTAATTTTTGAGAACTTTACCACCCTGTATCTCAAAAGTTAGGATGTTTAGGTCATACGTTCATATGAAACTTTCTTCTTAGAATGGGCCCAAAAATCGCCTCCCCAAATATTGACATTCAATTATGAAACACCCTGTATAAAATCATGTTTCGTAAGAATTTCAAACTAGTCCAGTGGCGAAGACAGGGGGGCCTTGGGGGGGCTGAATCTAATTTTCAATGAGAAGGCATTTGACCTTGAGCCCAAAAAAATCGCCTGCGGCGCATTTTTTTCTGTGCGACCGTTGTTTCTAGGTTCCTTGCCCCCTCCTTGGTGTCCACTGAAATTTCGCCCCTGCTTAAACCCCTTCAAAATTGGAGAGCTAACTTCAGCACTGCAAATTACTATTATTTCTCAAAAGTCTCAAACGCATGGTTCTGCGATAGACTTATTGGCGCGGTGATTTTAACAACAAACCAATGTGAAATTCGTATTAGGGGTCCATTTTACTTGATTATTTGGGATTTTCTCTGCTCGTTTCTATATAAATTAAAAATATGAGTATTATTTCAATATGGTATATACAAATCAGGTGAATTGCCAAAAATCCTCAAAATGTCACTGCATTAAAAAAAAAAATTCTACCAGGGAGCTCAAAAGAAAATTTTAATAGCTTGTCAGTGACATTTTGTTTTGAAAAATGTTTGAAGAGAAGAAATATAGATATGTTGAAAAATTATCGAATTTTTACTTATCTTTGGACGTTTCGGGAACGAGTCTGCTCCCGTTCTCAACATAAAAATGCAGAAATATTTTTCTTCGAAAGTTCTGTTCTTATTCACTTCTTCGTGACATACTGATGTTGGCATATGGATGAGTGATGATGTTAGTATACAAAGGAGTTACAGGATGTTTCAATTAATTGATATTAAAATTACCATTTTCATGTTCAGTTTCCAGTATTGAATAACATCTATCTATATCAACTGAACAGGAAGCAATGCTTTTGTCCCCGTTCAGAAGAATGCAAGCGGATTCCTTGATTTTTTTCATCAAGGAATCCGCTTGATTGAGTATCATATTCAAATAGGTTTGAGCCACAACAAAACTACAGACCTCATTTAGTTGGCACCCAACATGATCAATAATTATTGACTAGAGATTGGTTACTTTTCCATCTGAGTTTGAGAAAAATGCTTTCTTCTTGAGTGTGTTGCTATATTCCAACGATTTTTTTTTTATTTTCAGGGTACTGTATCAAGCCTCCCGAACCCTACTATGGCCGAAAAATAGGACCTCTCTTAGAATTTGCTCATGGAATTAAGGGCACAGCTTATGCTGTCGATGAAAGCACGATATTCCTCAAGGGATTCTCCTATGATGGTACTGGTACAGACGCTTTCTTCTGGATAGGAAATTCCCCAAGACCCAGTCCTGAAGGGATCATCATTCCATATCCTGAAGATTATATTGGCAGGTAAGCTATAAAAATAGAAAACTTCTGCCACAAGAATGATATGCGGGTATTCATCATTATTTTTACAGTGAAATGATTGATCATTCCACATACCAAGTCACCATTTTTAAGTATCGAAATGAAATATATGATTTCAGATTCAGGTTAGATATTTTCATCTTGTCCAATATCATTTGTGATAAATGAGCACGGAAATAGAGAAACTCCACTATCTCCTCCAGGCACTCCGAAGAACTGAGTATTTCACGTAGGGATTAAATATCGCTAGACCAGATTACATTCTCGTTGTCATGAATGATATAGAAAGTTTGAAACATCCCATACAATCAAGCCGCAACTGATGACACAGCAACTTGGGAATATTGGACTTTGGAAGGGAGAATCAGGACAGGCCAGGATTCAGGGATGCTTACTTGCAAAATTCTTTAAGCTTCTACCTAAGATGAATTTTCGGTGACTTGATCTTTAGTAAGCTGGTTTATAATATTTTTGAGTATTTCAGGTTGAGGTACACTCTTTTGTGGCAGTAACCAGTTGATGTTAACAAAGTAATCTCTAAAATCGGATCAAAATCGGTCTCATACTGAGAATTCCAAGACGTGCATGAAACTGTCATGGTAACACGTGTCCTGCGTACTTGTGGTGGTATCAAGCAAATAATGGAATCTCGTTGATTTCTGCAAGAATTTCTATCGTATTACCACTGATAACCTAGCATGCAGCAGCTTGATCCCTTGTAATGAACGGGTATCCTAGACAAAATAATTATCATGTGGAGCACTCAATTGTTTTGAACTTAGTACAGTGTACAATATTTGTCTTAAACAAGAAAAACTTTTATCATTTATCTATCTATACGATAATTCGAAAGAATAACTAGAAAATATCATTACGTGAACGGACGAATGTTTGTTTCAAATTATTGATTGGAGCATCAATAACATTCAACAAGTTTATATAGAATAAGTGCGTACCTTTGCAAAACGAAAACGAATTCACTGGTCAATCCAGAACGAAGCAGATTAATATCATGGGACCGAATTGAGAGACAAAAATGACGTTGATGAGAATTTGCAGAGATTTTATGTAAAGAGGGAATGGCTTTAATCTGATTGGCTCCAAAAATCAGTAAATTATTATTCAGCCCGAATAAGTAATGGAACCGACCGACCATTAAAATACGGTGTACCGTATTAACTTGAAAGGGTTTATAGCAAAAACATATTATTACCTACTAAGAAAACAAATTCAACAGTGGTGAACTATTGAGGTCCAATTGATCGTTAAGTGAAATGTCAACATTTTTGAGTTTGTTGATTTCTAATGATTCAAAATGATTGAGTCTCATTCCTTCATTTTCTACATGTAGAATTTCGAAATTATCATCAAAACTTTGATTTTCTTTTAATATATGTTTGGCGTATGTTGAATTTGTATTATTTTTCAAAAAATTCATCCTATGTTCATGAATGCGCTGGTTAAACGTACGACCAGTCTGACCGGTATATAACTAAGGTAATTAAAGAAAAGGAGAATGCATCATAGCTTAAAATTATTTATCGCCGTAACAATTCAGAACTACAACAAAATCTTTTTTAGTTTCTCAAATTTGTCCAAACATCCGTAATTTATTGCTCGAAATCTATGAGGAATCCCGCCTAATATAAACAAACCATGGAACTTCCACAAATCTATCACTATATACTTGGCCAGTCTTTATGAAATAAGTGAACACACGTTTTGAGAAATTACCGGAAATCACAGTAGGCACAGGGTACAGGGCAAGATTGTGTTGAAACTTGGTTGACGTCTGGGACGAGTCGATTTGAACTCTTGTAATGACGCCGATAATGAACCACTATTTCGTAGCAATAAGAGTTATATTCTAGTGCATTCGTTCAAGAATGGTGTGATGAAACAATAGTACATTGTGTATCTAGTATCCAATAGTTCCAATAATGGTAAGAGGGTGGTCAGATCAAAGAGTATGTGTTAAGAATGCCAAAAACATCAATACGAGACTGGTTTGCATGGTAGACAAGAGAGGAGAGAAAAAAAATTGGGAACTGTTGAATCCGGATCTGCATGTGAGTGGAATAACGCCCGCAGTCAGACAGTCAAAGAGGGAGGGAAAGAGAAAAACACAACCCCAACAGAGAGCGCGCAAAGCAAGGGGATGAACGTAATTGTGATGAAGTCAGCTCAACATCTTTATTAACTACTAAGTGAGTGTGCCATGCTTTAAAGCCAGATATTCGAATGAGTTCGGAGTTGCTATTGCTTGAAAGTTCAATTTTCGACTTTCTGCATAGAGATTTAATGCGCCATGTCTGGGCTGGAGTTGAATAGAAACTTCAGAGCCAGCATATTTATAAACATATCAAATAAATGCCTGTCATTCATATTCGTTCTGTACTAGAATTCTGAAGGAAAATGTGTAGGTTCCCAGCAAGTACAAACATCCCTGGGATGTTTTGAAAATGTTGGCATGAAGATGTTTTTTGGGGCGTAATATGCACTTCCCGAAGAGATCATTGAAGGATATTGAAGTATTGTTTTTGTTCTTCTGTAGCATTTCTTTGTCTGCCTACTGAGAGGTATCCCTAGGATGTTTTAAAAATGTATGCATCAGGATGTTTTTTTGAGACGCTTGATATGCATCCGCAGAAGTCTTCAAATGATATTGAAAGTATTGTTTTTGTTCTTCTATGACATTTCTTTGATTGCCTTGGATGTTTTGGGATTGTTGTTGTTGTTGTTCTAAAATTGTTCTATCCGTCATTCGGTTGCCCCCTTACGAGCAACCCTCAGAAGTCTTCGAAAGTCTTGTGCGAGCAAGGAATGACGGGGGCCTTACGCCTTACCTTTTAACGTGTGATCCCAAACACTTTCTCGGGCCATCAGAAAAATTTATGCAGTCGATGAGAATCGAACCCACGACCGGCAAGCGCATGCGAATTAGAATATAGACACTCTGTCCGCACGGCTACCTGGCCCCATGTTTAAGAAATGTTGGCATGAGGATATTTTTTTAGATATAATATACACCTCTCAAAGAGGTCTTTAAAGGATATTGGAAGTATTTTTTTCGTTCATCTGTGGCAGTTCTTTGTTTGCCCCACAACAACGTCTCATGCTCACACCAGAAAACGATGAATTCTGATTTTTTCCCGATTTTGTTGTTTTTGTTCGCATTGCGCATTTGCAGCGTCTTCTCATTCCATTATTCATTACAATACCAACAACCTTTTTTTCTCAGGACAGAAGCATCGACATATAGGGGTATTATTCATTCTGATTGAAAATTCCCCAGTGGGGAGAGCTCTTTTTAAATTGTCTTCCTTAGTCTTCAATATACCCACCAGAAATGGTTTATTTGCAACGATCAAATGTGCGCAAAAGGCTTTGGGAAGGTTATGTTGTTTTCATGAAGAGGCTTTCAAAAAATCCAGGGAGAATGTATTTTTGTGACATCCCAAGGATATTTTTATAAACTTCACCTGCGGCAAACATTGGCTATGAATGAATTTCTATACATGGGAGAACAGGACATCGCAGTGGAGGTTCAATGTCTCGACATATCATACTTTCAACATCTCTGAGATGTTTTTGTGCTCGCTGGACTATAGGTGGGTGTTCATTCTAATGTTCTCATTAAATTACAGATTGGAGTAACGATGCCCCAAGAAAAGTTTCTTTTCAGTCTTCAAATCAAGGATCAGAAATCAGAATTCTTCTATGTCGCTCTTGGAGTTAATCAAACTTTGATTCTGAGATACAGATTCTATATATTTTCAACCCAATTCATAATTCGTCAATTCTTCTACGGTCATACCTTTCCATCTATTCCTCTTGTCCTGGGACAAAAGGTAGAGGATGAAGGCGTTGAGTCCCCGGAGCCTAGAGTATGGAATATCAAAACAATTCGGATTTGCTATGACATCGATTTCATCAAGACTGCACTGTTTTCATGATACCACCATTTCTAGCGAGTGCTTGAGATTCAGTTTTTAAATTTACAGTGAATTGACGATAGCATAGTGCTTCGCGAGACCAACACTTGAATAAACCTTGCCAAGACTTGACTCGCGAGACCAAATCTCGAAAGAAAAATAGTGGACTTAAATCTACTCAATATGACCAATATGAAACATAAAGACCAAAATACCAAGATCAAGACTACATTTATTTTTTGAGACCAAGACCAAGACTGATCAGTCTAGCTGCAGGAGATTCAACATATTTGGTTTGTCCGATTTAAAACCTATTGATTTCAGGAAAATCTTACCTTATTGTTAGAATATCTCTTACACTCCATATAAGAGGGAAAATTACAAGACACAATGGATTTTTATAGCTCATTAAGAATTTTACCAATACTTAATTGAAAATTTATGAATCATTAAATATATAATATTTCTGAACTTCTCCTTCGTATTTCAACTTATAGCAACTGTGCTATGGTCTAACCCTACTTATAAAATCGTGACATCTGTTATTATTTGCGAAAAATTTCTAGCAGTTTGAAAATTACCGTGGCAATATTGATGATTTCAAAATCTTAAAATCGACCGAAATAATTTGAAAAAATATGGAATTGGAAGTTAATCGAGTAATGAATACCAATGTAACTAAATAGTAACCACTTTCTGAATGAAGACACAAACTGCCAGCGTTTGTTGATACCATTGATACTCAAAGAGGAAAGTATTCTCTCTCAAATGCTTTTCCTCATGTCTGGGATTTCAATAATTTCACTTTCGTTCCGTATACATTTTCCAAAGCAGTAACTACGTCGGTGTGGTATCGTGAACGTCGTCGTAGTTACAAAATAATCGGCTTACGCCGTTTGAAATGATAACTGTAAGCCGTTTAATGAGACGAAGAAGGTATTATGGGATGAAAGGGGATTAGAAAGAGAGAGAACTGGTCCCGTTGTAGCGATTATTTCGTCCTCGTATTATTGTCCTCACGGGGAAAAAAGGAAATTAAAGCTAGGACGGTGTTGCTCGCTCATGAGGAAGCCAAACAAGAAACTTTTGGACGATTATTCAATATTATGTCTGTAGACGCCATTACTCGTATAATAGCTCTCATTTGGAAATGTTTTAATAATAATTATACACAACAGGGATGTAACTTTTTTGTAATGGTTGAGACCCTTCTTGGATAAAAATTGGAGACAAATTAATACATGTTAGTGTATGATTCCATATTTCTCAATGTTTTTCATTTCATGTGAGAAAATACAGAGTTAGCACATATGGATAGGAATCTTAGATTATTTCAATCCAAATTGCTTGCCTGAAAACGCTTCTGCTCAATGCGCAGGAACCCTCACTGTCGTTCATATCTACTAATATTATAGGAAGAGAAAATATTTGTTTCTTTGTTTTTTTGTCAGTTTGTTTGTATTGAATAGGCTACGAAACTACAAAATCGATTTGAAAAAATATTTCACCATTTGAAGCAGACATTATCTCTGATGAACATAGGCTACTCTTTACTGTGGGAAAATGCTTTATTCCTACGAAAAGACGGATAATAGGACATCGGGTAGTAAGAATTATCCTTCCGTACTAACCTTTTTCTTTGTCGTATTTTTTATAAAGTTTGGTCTGAAAACGATTCGTTTCTGAGATACAGGGTGTTAAAGCATCGTAGGATTGAAGTTCGAGGGGATCATTTTCAACAACTGTTATGAAATATCAGTCATTTAGTTGATGAACGTATCAATCGTATCGTTTTATACATACTTTCACCTTTCATTCGTTATTACTGTTCTTTTCTCCACGTGCTCTGTGACAAGCATGGACAAATATTTGTAAAAAATCTACTGGGTGTTATTTTTTGTTCAAAAACACTATTAGACTTGCCCCGTGAGCCCGCCCCTGATGATTCTTTATCAACTGTATTAGGTCTAAAATACACGTAATTGTGATTTTAACAGATATTGTGAATTTTATCACTATCTATCCAGGAATATTTTGGAAATTTATAAAAAATCTATTTTTTTAAGGAACTTGAAACGTTTTCGAACATATGTTTAAATGAACTTTTTTTGCTTATTTTTGAAAATGATTGATTTGAATTTGAAGTTGTAATGGTATAGAGTAGGTATTCGATACTACTCATAAAAAAACCTACCGAGTAGTCACACGCATTCTACATTCGTATTAGTAATCACTGCCTAAATATATTCAAATACGTCCAAATTATTCCTAGTGGGGTTTCATGGTTTTCTCCTAAATATTTAGAGGGGACTTCCCCAATTATCTTAATAGTAATATCCGTATCCGTTTGATGATTTAAATAGTGAGTGTTCAACACTCAATAAGGGAGCTTGGTGCTAGGGTAGAACGTCCCTTCTTCCTAGGGGTTTTACACTATATTTAATCAACGTGAAAGGGGAAGATGAATGACTGTCAAAGTCCCATTTGCATATAAATGGACACACAATGGTTTACAGGCAAGCAGACCTGTGTTCTGTAGATGATGTACTCGATTAGGCTTTGTCTTTTATTCGGGCATGAGCTTTTATCTCTGGATCAGTTTTCGTAGTGAGTAATGATTCCACCTGTTTCATGTTCAGTAAGGAGAAGCTGTCGGAGCATAATGAGGATATTTGATTCTGTGAATGTGAGGAACGGATTTTTTTTGTGAAGTTATTTCAACAATCTTTTTCTCTATTGCTTCTCTCCTAATGTATTCATTCAGTGCCTTCTAAGAATTTTTCTCTGGTATTCTTGTCTATAGAAACATTGATATTTGGAATATCTGGAGATCAGTATTTTCGGAGAGACTACGCGATATTTTTCGTTAATAACGTTGAGCAAATCCTACCGATTGCGCCAATTTGAAAGCGCGATACGGAAAATTACAAATATACAGGTTGTCACAGTTCAAATTTGTATATCTTTGACAATCAATGATTATATGAATAAGCACTTTGTCGTTATTTCCTGAACAAACTGATTTTCAGGTTCGCAAAAATATATTTGGTGTCGACTTTTTATCCATATTGCTGAAACAAAAGCAATCGATGTGGAATTCTCTGAGTACTATCTCCAGTATGAACATTCCACATTGAGAAAGGAACCCTTCGGAGTTTCTGATGATGGTGAATAAATATCTCATGGAAAAATTTCACTTTACGATTCTATTCTTCTTTTTATAGATTTCTTGAAATTATACAAAAAACCTCGAAACCAATTATTATTCAATCAAAATGAAATGAACTGATCATAAACGCGAATAGTTTATTTTATAATTCCTATCCTGGTGATGTACTGGTTACGACCACCTTTGCATTAATCATTTTCGAGGAAAATCTTTTTCTAACATTTCATTATCATATAATGAAGAAACCAAACGAGTCTATCCCGTCAATTTCGTCGCTAATTTTTCACCATATCACAGTTAAAAGAATATACAATATAACTGTGACCATATCATTGTTTGACGGATACTACAGAGCCTGATGTCCACAAAATTACAAAAATTAATAAATTCCATCCATATGAAAAAAAACCTGTAGAAGTTGAGTGAAGACGAGGCACATTCAAGAACGACTTGTGGCTAGGTATAAATTGATGTTTCAATGTTATTATGCTGGGAATATCGTAATTTCCATCTATTCAGGGTGATCTATTCAAGAGTGCGAAGGAAAGAGGCATTAGTCCACCGTTTGAGAGCATTCCGCCACTGAACAATCTGGCTGATGCGGTTGAATAGATATTTTTCTAATTTTGAGGTATCAGTTTACGTGACCAGTTGCGTAAAGTAAAATATTACTGGTGATGCAATGTTCATTTCAACACTAGTTTCGTAATAAAAATATGGATGGACAAAAAATGTTGTGCTGCTTCCTCTATATCACTTGGAAAATATGAACTTCGGTAATAGACAGTTATTATATAACCAGTTAGGAGACGCATCATTTTGTGTTACGTAGTTACGTACAATATTTTTTCTAATTTCGATCAAATATTTCGCCTGAACAGAAGTCATGACCAGTTCTACATGAATTATATACCGATTATGTTAAAAATGTAGGCAAGTTGACTTCGCCCGTCACTTTGAAGTATCCGTAAAGCAATGATATGGTTAAAAATTTGAAAATTGAAATTAACGATATATAGACTCGTTTGATATCTTCATTAGTGGCAAATGGTTTCAACTCTGCCCTCCGGTACAGAACTGACTGAAACATCTCTTCCCTTCCTTTCTGATATCGGATCTCCAAGATAGAGACGTATTTAAATTACATTGTAATCAAACCACCGATATTGAACAGACTCAATAGTTGTATCAATCAAAATCTAAATGACCAGTTGAATCACATGACACCTAATAAAACAAGATACCAACACCAATGACTGCAAGCGTACAAGCTACTTTGATAGGAAGCGTATTGAGAAAAGAACTAGCAATCCGAGGCCCTCCGGTTCAGAACTAACTGAAAAGTGAAAACTGAAACATCTCTTCCCTTCCTCTTCTTCTTCGAAATATCATATGCATTCTTCTCTATAACCTATAGACTAAACAATCTCATGAATTATCTCCAACAGCAACACGATCATCGCCTAAACAGTTTACGTTAACTCAAAATAGTGAAACTATATAGCACTTCATCTCTAATAAAATCTATCTGCGCCGACATATTTTAAGTACTTTAGCAAATAGTTACGTGAAGTAAGACATTTCAAAACTATGGTCAGTTTTGAAAAGTATCAAATAACGTGTCAACATTATAGAAACAAAAATGTTTTGTTGCAGTTTCCGGATGACATCTGCATTTCAACAATAATACAATAATGTTGCAACTCAATTCGGCATTCTAATATACCATTCCATGAACTGATCATTTCACACCGAGTATATCATAATTTCAGTATATAAACCTATTCTTGATCTGAACGATACAACTTCCTGAAAATCCTAAATTCGAAGAATTTTTCTCTGTGTTGTTATAGCATAGTGTATATCACTTTTTGTATGTTCAGCAAATTCCTTGGAGCAGCTTTCAATCCGCTTAGACGAAAGCACAACGGTCTCGCCTGGATGAACGATCCAGCTTTTTTTATTTTCCAAGTTAGTGATTCGAGCTTTGTTTCAGAGATCCGCCAGTATTACGGGCTTACAACAACACAGACATAATCCTGAGGCTGCCAATGGGGAAAAGAATACGAGATATACGGTGGCTTTCTGTTTGGTGTCGGCGGTTCACGGTAAGTTTTACACTATTGGGCTTTTTCTCTATTCTACCTTGAACCTTGAACGAGAAAAAGGAAAGTTCTCTCCTCTTCCATCTTTCTCTCCAATGCTACCAACGTGGCCGCATAAATCTTTCCTTGCCAAGCATCTAGTTTGTGCCACTGAACTATTTTTGAATTCAACAGAGTGTCAAATTAACGATTTCACAAAATATGTTAAAATAAGTATGATATATTCTGCTATATATCATTTCAAAAATTTGGAAGGTTATCAGTCATTGACATTTAGGTCATAGACTTATCACATCTTTATATAATCTGAACTACCTGAACTGAATTATTTGTTAGAATGCATCTCAGTCCAAGTGAAATTTGTTTTTACACAGAGTTTTTGGAAATACGCAATACCTACCTGAAACAATCTCTTCGATTTCACTCTCGTCTACATTTTGCATACATTTTTAATATAGAATTCTGATACAAATAGATATTGTTCGAATAATTCTGATTGTCACCAATTGACAGTTCCTACAATTGACATGCCGTACAGGACTCAAACGACTGAAGGAGTGTCTATAAAGCTGTGCTGCCATGGTAGGTAATATGATCAAGAAATTGTGTTGCCATGGTAACGTGTTTCATTTTTTGAATAAATCCCAGATTGTCAATCCATGATTAATCGATCATTTAGCGTGTAGGCTCGATGCATAGATTTCGGGAGGATATAGGTACTTCAATGTTCTGCGTGGTATTAGACTGTGGTATTACCCAGGAAACTACTTGTTTTTCTCTCGTCTTCTACCATTGTTGTTCATTTTTCTTTATCACGATCCTAAAGATTAAAAAAATTAACCGCATGAATCATCGTTACGCCTACTAAAAAATGAGATTGAGTTACAAAACAGAAATTAGCATTTCGTCCGGTTTGCAATAAACAGTAGGGCGATAAGGCGTGAAGAATAGGGGGCATTCCGACACCAAAAGTCGTTGCGTTTCTATGATTTACGGCTCCATTTAAAATGGAACCGGTAAGCCATGACGAGCAGCCCCTTGCTAGAGTTAATAGGCAGAAATGGACTGAAATTGAATCGATCAGTGTCTGAATGCCGGCAGAACAAAATCTAATTTTGAATATTTCTGCAAAGTGACTAGCTTTCCTTTATTTGAACTCTTATCTCAAAATATTGACTCCAAAACAAGGAAATCTCACCTATATCTTTATTAGTCTTCAAACTCGAGTTCAAATATATTACAAACTTGGAATCCCGAGGAAACTCATTGCCTTAGCTTGAAATCCTCATACTTCAAACTCAAGATTCCAACATCAAACTCGGGCACCTAACCAAGCTCGTAATCTCAACTTCAAACTTTTTTTATGTTCTGGTTCCCTCGAAAAGGGATATCCTGTTATGTTCAGAGAAAATCGTGAGAACCAAGGGCAATAAGGTAGGAATTGGTGTTCTTCTTAAATTTCTGGAGGTTATATGCCTCGGGGAACATCTCCCTTGGCAATGTGTTCCAGAGCCTCGCTGTTCGTTGGATGAACGAGTCTTTGGAAAGAGATTTTCTGCAGGTCTCCAAAGTGACCACGAAGGGGTGCGAAGCCTCAACAAGAGGGGTTAATCTCGCAGGGACTGCCAAGGGAGGAACAATTGTCGATATTTCAGAAGAGCATCCTCCATGAAAATATCTATTAAATAGATCACAACTTCAAACTTGAACCCTAACTTCAAACTATGAAAACTAACCTCAACCTGATGGAATCCTCATTTATATTATTATGTATATCAAACTCCAGATATCTAAGGAGCCAAACTTTGATTTCGGGATCTCAAGTTCAAAATTGGGATACCAACTTATTCAGACTTAGGATCACGACTGGATTCAAACTTCAATGATTTTGGGATTGTAACTAGACAAACTTGTGATCACGACTTGAAACTAGAGATGCCAACTTCAAATTACTCATGAAACTTTCGTTTTGAGAGTTGTACTACTTTTCCGTACGATTTTTACTTCTCCGCAAGATTTTATCGGGGGTAATACCACGAGGGCTCAGATCTAGCCGGATACTTTTTTTGGTTGTTTTCTAATAATTGAATCGGTCATTCCGAAAACAACATAAGTCCATATCTGGGCTAAGTCTAAATTTCGGCGCCATGATGATTTATACCTCAAAACGCATCAGGTTGAGCGAAAACAACACAAGTTACTGTTTCATATAGCATGAGTGCAAGAGGCCAATTTGTTTTCCAGTCATTTCGAAAACAACATGAGTCCTGTCGTTACCATCGAGATTTTGTGTGGTTTTCGGAATGGACGGGTAGTGAATAAAAGGGATATTGAAAAAACACGATAGAGTGTATTTTCCTGACGAGTACTATACCTTAATTAGTTCCAAAAGCAAGTAACAGTTTCAAATACTCTGTCAGAATGATATCCAGGCCAAGCCGGGAAATTCAGGATCACAAAAGTTGGTGGCCTATATGGTATAAGAAAAACACAGTATCTATGGAATCGGCAAAACTGAAGATACCGAAGGCCCAAAAAACCCAGTTCACGGTATCAAAATTCAACCAGCTAATATTTTCTTCAGAATATACTGGTAGTATCAAAGTGTGTGATCATATGGATTGTTTGACGTCCCATACTTTCGTGGTTGGAAGCTCGTCTCAACCACCTACTCTGCTCCAAAATCCTGCATACTCATCAAATGAAATACCAATAAACATTAAAAGGTCATGCAATATATTCCTGATGAGCATGCCGGATTTTGGAATGATATATGCATCTGGCCTAAACAACAACTACTTCTGATGCGGATGGATAGCCTGTAAATGCCTGCAAATAATGATATTCAGTTCTTTTTCAAGTTTATATTATATCTTATATCCAAGTTTAATGTATTTTCGTCATTTTCTTGTACTTTCCAAATGTTTGAAATAAAAAGTTTTATAAAAAACATCATGCTTCATTTCGAGAACAACTTAAATCCCACAGATTGGAAAATTAATAATAAAATAACTACATGATCTATATCCACCTTTCGTCTTCCAAAAGTACCTATAACCATAACCTACAATTCGTATATAGAATAGCATTGCCTCGAAATACCCACCTAATTAAATGAAATGTTTTTCATGTCTCCTGAAAAAGAAATTATTTGTGACTTTGGTTGTTTTCGAAATGACCGATTCAATTACTTTCATTGGCGATTTATATATAACGAGAGCTATTCTGAAAAAATCGCGAGAGTGTACATTGTTTCCACCACGTATTCTTCATCATCTTCCCCATTCTGTTTCATCATATTGAAGCCCCAGAGAATCAATATTCCTGCCGCTCCGCGTCATTCGTTCAATTGCCGTCGCGTGCGGAAAAGTGCTACTTTCCGCACTTGATAGGTAAATAATTGAATGATAAGATAGATTCAATTTATGTGGTGTTTTATTCTCAAATAATATAACCCAGTTGATGGTAATGAATTGAATTTATCATAACAGACATATTCCCTATGTTCTCTTTACATTCGGATCCTTTCGCCTTTCTCGTCTACCATTTTCTCAAATCCAATATCCAATGACTCTACCTTGAACGTATACGTTAGGTATCCGTTATAGTAACATTTTGTCTATCGATCTGCGCCAAATTTGAACTCACCAGCAACAGCGCAACTGTTTCGATTCAGATTTACATACATTTTGTTTCGAGAAATGATATCCCGATTTATTTCATCTTCAGTTACGTTTCAATCCTCTGTATTCTTGACTACAAACTAATAATAATTCTAATTGGTCAAGAAAATCAATGTATTTATAGTATGAATAAACTTGGGAACTAACACAATTGACACACTTTCAATTCGTCTTAATACAGAGTAAGAGACACCAACAGAGGCAGTTTTCCAGGAATAACAAAGACATCCTTTAATGATTTTCAATGCAATAGGACGTATTACGTATTGAGAAAGTGTGTGAGGGAAAATGGACATCAATTTGAACAATTCAATGAATAATAAGTTACCGAATAATTTCGAAATTCAATTGTTTCAGTAAATATTTAATGCTTATTCAACATTATGAACTTTTTATTTTCTATTTCCTTTTCATGAAAAAATCAAAGGAGATATTTCTTCAATTGGAACTTTTTTATATGGAAAATCCATAGCCATGCACTGGCAAAATTCAATGTTTTAGAGTTTTTGGAGCATTTTTGAAAATTTCATATTCACATATATATCATTTTAAAGGAAAACAAATTAGGAATCTAATGAGTAAATAAAATACAGGGTGTTCTATATAAAAAATCATAAGTATGAGTTGATAATCTCCAAAACCATACCCGGAAAAAAAATTGAGTGTGCCACTGGATTCTACGTAAAATTCTTCTTGGGATAAGATTTCAACTTGACATTTTTGCTGAGAAACTTTGTTCAAAATGTATAAATTTCCAAAATTTTAATAGTAACTTTTCTTTCGGCACGTCAAAAAGTTATTTCACGGCCTGCATACAAATATCTATTTTCCTGTTTCATATTATATATACTGCTGAACAGAGCAGGTTGGGCACTGTAGTATGGCTAGTAATCACATGTCCGGGAATATATAGGTATTGCTTTTACTACTATAGATATACAATATACTACGTACCATTAATAACGTACATGTCTTGATCTCAGTTTTACTAGTGCTTGTGCATGTGGTCTTACTGATATATTGGTCCCGGCTTGCCTTGGTCTTCCAGTAGCTACCAAGCAAATACGACTAGACTGCCGGCCAAAATAAATGTCACAACAAGGTAATAAAAGACTTGTTTGATCACAAACTCCTCATAAATGGTATAAGATACACGGTATCCAGTCATTGGAAGAAATGAGATATTTATAAGAGTTTACTTGGATCGGCATCTAAGATGGGATAGACATATCAACTACGTAATAAAAAAATTACAAATCATAATGTTTACCTCCAAACACATGAAAGAGTACATACCATTGGAAAATTTTAAAACTTTGTATTTTGCACTTGTAGAGAGTCATCTCAGATATGGAATACAGGCATATATAGGGCGCCGTGCACGATCATACATCAATCCACTTGAAATCTTACAGTATTTCATCGGATCTTATGCATTTTATTGTGGTGTTTTTTCTGTATCTACATCTTTACATTTTTTTATACAGTGTACCCACTTCTAATGGAAACACCCCTGTATCTAACGTAGTCGTTGGGTAAGGATCCTAAAATTTGCTGGAGCGAGAGATATACCGAAAAAGCAACTTTATGAACAAGTGGGGTCAACCCAAAATAAGTTCTTGAGAATTATGTTGAACAAACATCAAATGTATCCGACTGATCTACTGTTTTCTGAAACTAAGATACTAGATATTCGGGAGATATTCTATGTGCAGGTCAATGTAAGGCAATTCCTTAAAAAAATCGACTTACGACGCTACACTCATACTTACGAAACAAGAAATAAACAAAAATAATCATGTTGCACCGGCTATGAAAAAACATATTGGACAAAAGAGTTATCTATACCTAGGAACAAAATTGTATAATAACTTACCATAAAGTGTCAAAAGCCAACATAATTTGTCAAAGTTCAAAATGAGCCTCACCGCCCATGTCGCAAGTAGACCCAGAAGAGAGAGATTCAAACTATCTACATGATCAGTTATATACATATACTTACTGCACATCTACGATTGACTTGCCACGATTATATACATATACTTACTGCACATCTACGATTGACTTGCCACGATTATAAATGAGTTATAGTAAAATGCTGCTGTCTTGAATCCTGTCTGAAATCTGAATATTGTATTATACCACGTACAAGTCATTGATGTTGTCGTCAATGACTTCTGTGAGTTATTTAAATGTTTATTGAATAGTAACAATCATTGTTAACTTCCATTTAATCAGTTATTTTTGCCAATAAACATTCATTCATTCAACTACTGTGATATACACTGCTCGCCAACAGCCATGGAATCACCCCAATTCCCGGAACATTATATTAGGAGTCAAAATAGGTTGAAAATCACTTTCGATTCGGAATCAGGACGCCCAATTCACTAACTATTCATATTTTTCCTGAAAATGTTCAGTTCTGAAAAATTCAATTTTGTCGCACTTTTTAGGGAAGCACCACCGTATCTTACGTAATTGACTTTATCTTTGGACTTTCCCTTCCTTCTGCAAATTTCAGAACCCTACCTCAATAATTACGTAAGATACGGGAGTGCCTCCGTATAAAAAATGCGACAAAATTTAATTTTTCAGAACTGAAAATTTTCCAGGAATAATATGAATAGTTAGTGAATTGGGCGTCCTGATTCCGAATCCGAAGTGATTTTCAACCTATTTTGACTCCTAATATTATTTTCAGGAAATTGGGGTGGTTCCATATGGCTGTTGGCGAGTAGTGTATAACACTGAAGATGACCCCACTTGGTGATAGAGTGCATTTTTGGTAAATCTCTCCCCAGAAAATTTCAGGATCCTTACCCAACGGTTACGTAAGATACAGGGGTGTTTCCATTAAAAATGGGTCACACTGTATATTATCACAGTTTCTACACCTTTATACTATTCATGTCTCATTCATCTAAATATCTTTATGCAACTTTTCGAACATTTTGGTCATCTATATATATTTTTTTTATGAGAAACAATAAGTGCACTTATCTCTACATACTAGGTACTTTATTCACTTTGATCATGTAGCCATATAGTTGTATTTATTTATTCTGAATGAAATTATTATTATTATTATTGAGTCAAAATATCAGCTAGGTATGTTTGTTTTGATTCCAGGTAGATTTTGGCGAAGTATTCATACGTCCGAACATAGAAGTACCCAAGCCAAGAGTGCTTCCTGAGTTCAAACGACTCGCTCACGGCCTCAGATCCGACAACATCAGCATCCTAGATGCGAAAACCTTCTACATTCCTAATCTTCATTACGACGGAGCTGGGCCAGATGCCTACTTTTGGGTCGGAAACGGCTCAGAGCCGAATTCCTTCGGCATCAAGGTGCCCAACGAGATGGGGTCACTTGATCCTTTGAGGTGAAGTATATCCAAAGTCAATTGACGAAAACATATTTTCAGTTCCATTTATTTCTAAATAAATACAAAAAGCTCAAAGTCATTTCCACACAATGTTTATATAATGGACAACAATGGTAGATTTCGGGAGAAAAACAACTACTTTCGACTCGTATAAACGAATACTGACACAAGTGATTCTTTATTGAATGCCTATTGATTTCGATTTAGCCAGGCCACGCTAGACACCCACAGACCGGTTTCGAGCTCTTTGACTCTCATCAGTGCAGGGTAGTCTCCAGCCAGCAGTCCTAAGACCGCCGAGTCAGCGCAGTTTAGGCAAACAAAAATCGAGTCGGCATTATATTCCCCCAGAGGCGTCTTTCATCATAAAGTAGTTGTTTGTCTCCCGAAATCTACCAATGTGGTTCATTTTATGAACATTTTGTGGAAATTACTTTGAGCTTTTTGTATTTATTCACTATTTAATTCCACTTTGAACATTGTGGCTATTTTGTAGTTGCCATTTATTTCTGATGATTCAGTGTCAAATTTTAATGGACTAGTATTTTATTTCAAAAAGTAGAGAAAACATATTTTACTGAAACATTCTTATCAGGGGCTATCAAGGAGAAGATATAGAGATACAACTTCCTGGCCTACTCACTGTCCATGATATCGACTGGTTGGCCGTTTGGTGTGTCCAATACAGGCACAATTTTGGACATGTTCATGTCCCCAAAGACATCGATGTCCCTCCAGCACTTGGACAAACAAAAATATCTGTAAGTCACATTTTCATTCGTTTTCAATGAAAACTAACTGAAATATTCCAAATGACTAGACTAGAAGGGTTGAAAATAAATCTTTTGGGGAGTATATTTTCACTTGGTGATTGAGTGAATTTCTTGAACTGCTTCTCGGTGAATTTCGAAAGGAATCAAAGAATGGAATGAAACACAAGATAAGAATAATAATCTAAAGTGAAATAATCCAAATATCAGAACTGAATTCCTCCATCTAAGTTATTTGAATGGCGCTATTTCCAGTTTTCCATTATCAAAAAACCGTGTTATCTTGATATACACCTTATATATTATATTTTTATTTAACTATCCCATAATATGAGCCGATCTGAACCTATTCACTTATATCCATTTTGTACAAAAGAATAATTATAGTTCAAGAACGATTTTCAAATATTCACCTATATTTGTGTTTTCTAGCCTCCTTGGTGGTATAATCCAGTAAGTAAATAGTGAAATTCGTAGAAACTCATATTGTTGATGAATTTTCCAAATTCGTATAATTTCTTCATACTTGATTCGACATAAAGATATGATTACTTTTTTCAGACTACAAGCACACCAAGATCAACGCTACCAAGTAACTGTAGAGAATTTTTGGACAAACGTTTGCAAGTTCGGTGGAAGCTCGAAGAAGATTATATCGATATGATACTGTCAGCTAGAATCAGAGAAGACCAATATATAGCATTCGGGCTATCTGGATCTCAAGGCAAACCCCAAATGGTAAGTTCAGAAATGAAAGATTATTTCCCTCTCATTATGACTGGTTACAGCATTGGTTTCTGTAGTCGCACTTTTGTCTATAATAATTATTCGAACACATTATGTATATCAACCTCCGCAGTGATTGATTCGCAACTATATGAACACAGCGACGTTTGAAAAACAGTGAAAAATGATTTGTATATAGATTATTTCATATAAATGTTAATTCAACGAAAATTTCACGTAGAAAAACGATATTTATTAACCAAATTTTCCACGAGTTCGAACATTTTTTATCATTGAGTTTCCATCAGAAATTCGGTTTGGGTTGACATCTTCAACGTTTTTACCAAATTTTCAGATCGATCGGTCATTTATCGCCGTTTTTGCATAATAATAATTATCATTATTTTACTCTCACTTACCCGATATTTTGTCCATCATCACTTCAATTACTCCATTACTATCAATTTATCTTCTGTAGTCTATGCTATATCAGCCATACGAGTTGTCAAAAATCTGTTCAACTTTTTTTTTTTTTTTCGCAATTGCATACCTCGTTAGTCCCAGCACTGGGACCAAACGCCCCATAAGTCGAAACTTGTGCGGGGTTAGATATGCATACAAACACAAACATCCATGGCCTAACTAGGATTCGAACCTAGGTCTCGGTGGGAGTCCCCACTCAGCGCCTTAACGCTCTCGACCACCGAGCCGAACTGGTCGAATATTTGAATTAAAACTTTCAATGTGAGATGGAAACGGACTGAACAGAAGATGTTGTCTTCTGACATCCAACAAAAATTGTTGAAAAAATATAATTCACCTTTACATTTAATTACCGGTTATGAACCAATTATCGAGTGATGTTTAAGAAATGTTAATTTCAAAAGTTCAATCAATGTTTCGAACAAACGTTGGTCACCGTGTGGATTTTGGCGACTTGATGAAAAATGGTCTCATAACAATACAGAATTTGTTTGACCTTAGTACCCGTTCAAATAATTTTTTCATTTGCTGCTATGAACTACAACAGTAATGATTGTCAGATTATTATCATTTCAATATTTCGATCAACGTTTTCAATGAACATTGGTTAACTGTGAAGACTGTCTGATCGATGAAAAATAGTTCGATGGGTAACAATGTTTAATTTATGTTGTCGAATGATTTTCAACAAACGTTGTTGGAAAACATATATTTCACGTTATTGATTAACTTTCGAATTAACGTAAATTTATCGTATAAGACTTTATCAGTTCGATGAAAGGATTACTTCTGGGATAATTTGTTGAAATTCGTATATTTCACGTTTTATTCTCTCTAACAGATATCAGAGAGTTGAGAAATAGCGGTAAATAAACAACTATCCTATAGAATGAATCAATGTTTTTGATGAAGGTTTTATGAGAGGTAAATGATTTCAACTTGTTCTCAGATAATATCGTGTTTTATATTGTATACATTGAACGATTAGATTTAGCATTGGAGCCTTCAATTGCATTGGACCTTCAGCTGTAGTTGTACGTTGAATTTCTCAACCAACAACACTCATCCAACCAGTACCACCAAATAAACCCTTGGAAAAACGTACGTGTGGCCATTGGGAATGTGAATTGTTCGTCAAATGAGAACATCATGCTTTACTATGTCTATTACACCAATAATATCATACCAGCTTTAATCATTGGAAGAAGTCCAGAGTTCATAGATGAAGAAACCTCTACATTATTATGCCTTACCTCTCACGTATATCTTACCTTAAGCGCCAAGCTCTCTACTGATTCTAGGTTGGCGGAGATGTCATAGTGGCCTTTTACGACTCAGAAACCGAATCGTTCCGAGCTGTCGACTACTACATGTCCCACCTGGCCCAATGCGATGGCAAGCAAGGCGTATGCCCTGATGAGCGAATCGGGGGTCGAAACGATGTCACTGTCATCTCCGGCTCCAGGGAGAATGGCATCACGACCATCAAATTCCGCAGGCCCCTGAAGACCAACGAAGCTATCAACGACCAGCCGATACCTTTGCAAGGAGAGGTCAGTGTGATTTGTACATTGATTTATTGATTGATGTGGTGACGCATAGTTCTAATCAGCATTGAAGGGCTCAAGTTGAGTTTGCCCTGACAGTTTTTTCAAATGACTGTCAGTTACCTCATACAACTGGCAATCCAACTCAATATTTAGGTTTTACACACGCGTAGAGATTTGTCCAAAGAAGAACACAAACGTAGTTATAGAGGAGTTATAGTTATTTTTGAGTTCCTATAATAGGTGCCTTTGTGAAATTGCGAAGTTTCCAGCTCCACACTCAAACAGGGACCTTAAGAGGAAATGTCAAAGTCGTTCCAACGAATCCAATGAAAGGATCACATACTTGAGCTTTGTTGCTTTGTTAGTATTTAGAATTCCCAAAACCTAGAACATTAGAAGAGGGTGGCACTGAGATGAGGAGAATACAGTCAGTTAATTTTATTCAAAGCTTCATGAATTCTGCATGGGTGGGTGGGTATATGAAATCTGAAAGTCAAGTTTGTTCCATATGAATTATCGATAGATGGCTTCTGATATAGGTACAAATCGGCAAACTTTTATGAACAGTCAGATCATTCATCAACATTTGAATGAAAATCGTGCCTAAATAGACATTCAGGTTCACATACCTCTTATGATTCAGGCAAAATTCAACTTGTATTGTCAACCTATTCGAAAAATGGAAATTTTCAATGTAGGAAATTAAATCTTTTGGGTAACTGATTGAAATCTATATTTGTTTAGGTCAGTGTTATTGCAGCATTCGGACCGCTGAATTCGCTGAAGGAAGCCAATGCTCACTCCGCTTCCGACAAAACCACTGAAGATTTCAGGATAAACTTCAACAATTTCGACGATCATGACTGCACGATCAATTTGGAAGATCTCAGCGAAGAAGGTGGACCAAAACCTTGGCCATTGGCTAAGATCATAGGTACATATTTCTAATCATCATATATGTGAACATTACCGTTAATAATTGTTCCAGGTGAAACTACTTTCAATGCCAGAATAGGCCCAGCCGGTGGCAAACGCGGTTATACTTCCATAACTGGCCTACCATCATGGGGTATTGCTTGGTATCTGAACGATCTTCTTATCCCAGAAATCACACTGGAGAGAGGGCAGACTTACACGTTTGTAATAGAGGGTGGCGATGATAGCAGTAATCCAGCAAGGTGAGGTGCATTGAAATTCATCGCCATAGTGAAGAATTTAATAGTTTAGTTTGGAAGTTTCTTATGGGCCCAGGACTTCTGCTACCCTGCTTCTCTGCTTCTCTGCTTCTCTGCTTCTCTGCTTCTCTGCTTCTCTGCTTCTCTGCTTCTCTGCTTCCCTGCTTCTCTGCTTCTCTACTTCTCTGCTCATCTGCTTATTTGCTTATCTGCTTTATCTCCTTATCTGCTTCTCTGCACCTCTGCTTCTCTACTTCTATATCTTCTTCTACTTCTACTTTTGCTTCTACTTCTGCTTCTGCTTCTACTTGTACTTCTGAGCGATTGGCCTAAAGTTGTTGGGCAGGTCCTCGTTTCCATTTTTGGGGATTCATATTGGACTCTAGCTATTTTCCAGCAAGATGGAGAAATGTTCTGTTTCTAAAACTATGCTTCTACTTCAGCTCCTACTTCTACTTCTGCTTCTGCTTTCACTTCTTCTTCCGCTTCTACTTCTACTCTTGCTTCTACTTCCTCTTCTGCTTCTAATTCCTTTTCTACTACTGCTTATATGATTTCACATTTGTTCTACTTCTGCTTCTACTGCTGCTTCTACTTCTATTTCTGCCTATACCTCTGCTTCCACTTCTGCTTCTGTATATATAGAGATTGATTTGCTCTCTTATTGAAACTTGGTGGTATCTTTCTCATTGATCATTAATGAAAATATACAAAAACTCAAAGTTCAAAAGTTGAAAAGTTGAAGTGTGGTCGAGAGACTTCGAGTTATTTGTGTTTCTCTATCGAAAATACTCTGGTCCACTTTGAGTATGGATGATATCTATGGTTTGCCCTATTTTTCGTGATTCGACTTTCCATCTTGAACTTGAACACTTCTCGATGTTTGCCAACAGATACCATCCGTTCTACATCACGGATTCCATCGAAGGTGGATACGGACAGAAGTCGGTAGACGATCAGGCGAAACAGAGAATTTTCGCAGGGGTGGACTACGATCACGAAGGATACCCTTATCCGACGGCCGCTGGACGGTATTGCGAGTGGGCCCACAAGAGCGTGGATAAGTCCAACGATTCGGAGACTTTCAGAACATTCATGGACACGTTGAGGTTAGAGTGCGATCAGGGCGAGCCGGCTTATTTCAACTGGACTGTGCCGTACGAAACGCCTGATCTCTTATACTATCAGGTGAGATGATTATAGCAATGGGTATAATGCCTTGAACATCTCATTTTACGACCTTCAAAGAATGTGGACACGCTTGTCATGTTGTTGAACAGCTGAACAAAAAACATGAGACACTGATATCACAGGAATGTCAATTTTCCTATTTTGCGTCTTCAATGAACTCATTATGATACACAAATGCGTATCGAAACAGCTGCTTCTGTTAGGACACGCTGAATATCTTTTCCAAAGTTGGCAATGGCACAGAATACCCAACAATCAGAAGTGTTTCTCTGGTCGGAGCCTTTGATATTTTAGTATCTGTTTTCTGATGTGATCCGTTTACAAAAACTAACTTTTATTTTCAGTAGGACATGTATATAAACACAAACATTGCTGAAAATTTGAATTGATAGCTTTGACCAGGTTTTCATTAGACTATTTTTTCAAGTTGTTCTTCGGAAAAACTAAACTCATTTTCTTCCCAATTGCAGTTTTGTTTGGTCAATAGGTAATAAACAGGGTATATTCATTCAACTGGCTCTGATCAAATGAGGAATAAAGCCAAGTCCTAAAATTGTTTTTGCAGCCTATAGCAGCGCACACATGATCACCTCTAAGTTTCTTTTGAGTACTCATGTCGACAATTACAGATGAAGCAGATGAAGAATTTATTATTGACTTCATATTCACAACCAAATTAGAGGTAGGCACCAAAACTTATTCGAACAGTACAACCCATAAAACAACACAACAACGCAAAAATAGAATATGTACTTGAATATCTGAATATTTCACACGATTATTCTATAGCTCAATTCGATAAACATGTAAACAAGTAACCCAGGAAGATGGCCGACAACCTGTGTCGTTCAAATGCGCGAACCAACTCCCGCGCGATAGATGCTATTCTGATTATTGGGTATTCTGTGGCAATGGTAACGTCAAATTGTCAGACACAGCGTACACAGACAGGACCAGACAGGACGTACAGATAGTCCATGAAGATGAAATAATTTCAAAAAAGAACGATAATAAAAATTGAATATATTTTGCAGAGCGATGTTTCAATGAATGTTTCACATTTTATATTTTATGACCATGATGAATCTATAATAATCATGTATACAAATTCGGTGGTAAGGTTTGTTGGGCTGCTGTTGACACAATAAACCATAAATAATGCGGACAAAAACACTCGTAGGAAAAACATTGTACCCTTCGAGGCCTGCCCGAACTCCGCTCCGCGTCTTTCGTGCAACTGCAGTCGCGTGCGAAAAGTACTACTTTCCATGCCTGTTAGCTATTTAAAATCAAGCATCTGTGTTGATAACATATATTCATAACAAAATCGCTCATTTTATTTCATTTTTCTAGTGCTATACGCATAATAACTTGGGATGGAAGATAAAGATTGTGGAACCTGGATACATCTCGGAACATAGCAGCAAAGCTGTGGGACTAAACAGCATATCTACTTTTACGTTGATACAGGGGAATTTAATATTATTGTGCTGGGTTTTAGCTAACATCTGATTGTGAAGCTCCGTATCTTTTGATAGAGCTTTACCGTAATGAAATTGACAGATGAAGGATTTTATTCCATCTAACTATAATGGTGAATCTTTGTATCACCTCTATTACGGATGAGGTTCTACCTAACTACCTATATCTATTCATATCAATTAGCTATTATCAATATTACATCTCAAATTTTATTTTTTATATTTCTGGAACGTCAATAGGATAAATTGATTCAATTTACATGATTATTACAACCGTTTTTAACGGGCCGTTAGCATAATCCAAAATTATAATCTTCAATCATGAAAAGAGTTTCAAAAGCATGACTAACAATATTGCAAGATTGATTTTCCTTCGAGTCATTTTCAATTCGATAAAAACGCACAGCACACTGTCCAAAATTATGTTCGTCTCTACTAAATTTTTATCACACATGAGGAATATACGGGGTGACATTTATATGAACAATAAGAAGGTCAAGCTGTGGTTCAAGACTGGCGCCGAATGGCACCATTTAAAAAAATGGGGATCACAAAACACACAAAAAATAATATAATGACACTTTCTGATGATTAATAATTCAATATTTTGGGAATATTCGTCTGACTGCGATATATAAACGTATTTCAATATAATCTCGTATGTAACAATGACATGTTGGTATACATCAGGGGAATGATATTTTATTAGTAAAAAAAGTTCATAAAGACAGGTGTGTCCCAACTTGAACTCGAAAGTATTTTATAGTAGGTAAAATTGTTTTTTCATGATCCATGTATGAGCTTTCATGCAACAGGTGGCAAAATCCAGTCTGTTTCCTGAAAAACTAAGCAAGATACAGAAGAAACACCAAAGGGACGAGTGAGTGGTATTTTCAAGAGTTCAATATGAAACTAAGAAAAACCCATATTGGTGTACAATGATGATATTCCCTATAAATGTTAATAAGGTGATACGACACCATTGGAATTATTACATCGAATTAATAAGTTTAATTGAAATTGGCAAAATCACTTTAGAGTAATTAATAAAAAAATGTTTGTATAAAAACACTCTGATTCCTTGTTTCTCAACACACCATTATTTTGGTTTTTCAGTTAGCTCAATATAATTGTCATTGATTAGGTACCTACTTTTGAAATTTGAGAATTTTCTTTGTGCTAACGGACCCGTGACCCCAAATTTCGATTTTTTTCTCTTTGAAGCTCTTTGAAGAATCGAAAATTGGTAAAGTGAAAGAGCATTTGGTAGAGACACTAGAAGGAGCGACACTGAAGATAAATCTGATAGGTATTTTTCATAAAATCTTACCGTAGGGATTCTATCGTATGCTCTTTTCAATATCAACCAAAAATATCTGAAAGCATTCGAAACGTATCATGTTAGTTCTTATAGGAAAGATGTACATTTTATCTACACTTATAAAAAGTAATTATTATATAACTAAGCTGAATAGTTATTTATTTTTGAAAATAATGTGAAAAAATGTGCTTTCTTTTGTAACATATGACAATAACAATTAGGTTTATATTAATGTTAAAGCATTTTTTATACAATTCATTATGGTTGAAAATGATATTGATCATAAATATTTACCTATTTATATGTATGTATGTACCTACATCTGAAAAGCCAGCTGAAGCAAATAAAAAAGAAGGAATTGTTGGCGACAGTTAAACATTGGTAGGCAACAAAACAGTCGAGGAGTGTATAACTTCTCATCGAAATACCAAAGTCGTGTACTTGATCAACTGTCTACCATATAAATATACACTTATCATCAATATTCGGATAAGCAATCAGTGATAGGTACCTACATTTACAATATTTATCATGATCAGAATTTGTTATAATAATAAATACCTACCTATATATGTATTTATGATATAATATTATTACTTATTATGTATGAGATTGAAGAATTACAATTAGGCAAGGACACAAATGCGTGAATTCAATTCAAATGTGCATATAATTGAAATATAGTAGGTAGTAACATAACATGAAGGTATCATTTTTTTTATAAAATATGCTGTAATATTTCAGAAGAAAACCATTTGAAATATCAAGTGAATATTTCTCAATTTACAATCGATCCTATTGTGAACTGGTGAGATTATTTGATATTACTCGTTGAAACACACTTTAAACATAGGTATACAAAACAATCTAAACTGAACGATTCTGGTATTCTTTTCAATAAACCTCAAATTCTGGTGACATGACATGACAGTCTATGGGGTGCGTGCAAGAACTGTCAGGTGACGGACCCGGAGGTGACGAAATATTGAAACACAACCTCACTTTTCTTATTTGTTTACAAGTGATTGAAATAGTTTTTCACAATTATTTTTGCATACGAATCGTGTTTTTCGTCAATTCATTAAATCGCGCATGCCATCACATTGTGCTGCTTTTGTACAATGCACAAAAAACCAGCGGGAGACGAATTAATCCGATTGGTACATTATGATTTAGTTTTCATTTTTGAAATTTGGTAATTTCTCTGATTTCTCATCGGAATTCCTTCTGCAATAGGAACTAATGAAAATACTTGTGAAATTTCTAAAATAATGCAAGAAGATTGGATTCATGCAATCAAATGGTAGGATCGTGTGTGGTGTGTGTTGTAGATATTTTGCATCTTTTAGCAGTAGATATTATAAGCTTCTATTGCAGAAGTGGCAGAAGGAATTTTAATAAGAAATGACAAAATTTCATGATGAAAAAGTATGTGGGATTACTATTTTTACCTGAAAAATCATAATCCTTCGTCTCTCGCTGCATTTTTTGTGCATTGTACAACAGCACAATGAGAAGGCATGCTTGAATTGATGAATAGCGCAAAAAACACGATTTGTATGCCGAAATATTGTGAAAAACTATTTCAATCCTTCGATTCCTCTGTAAACAAATAAAACAAGTGAGGTTCTGTTTGAATATTTCACAGAAGAGTGAGGTTATGTTTCAATATTTTACCTCCAGGGTCGGTCATCGTGCACGCGACCTATATCTTTGTCATAACATGCCACAATCCCGTGTATAGGAAAACAAGAACAAATGAGTTTCAAAGTGTCTTGCTCAGTTCATCCATGATATTGTTGAAATCAGTTAAATCTTGAGAGCGATCGATAAGTGTTAAAATATCCAAAGAAGTGAAGAATCGGTTGAAACGGCAACGCTGTTCATCTCCCTGAATAGTGAATTAGTGATTTTTCACGGCTACCAATAGACGGTCGACGCGTATAGAATTGCTGACGATTTTCCGTCATGTTGTTCTAACGACGGGAGCATTTCTTTGGGAATTTGTTTTGAGAAATCTAGAAGTAATAAAACATTTAAAGAAATTCTCTATGCATCTTCTCATCGCGATGAACGTCATAGTTTTTTTTACTAGCAATTGGTGTTCTTGCCTGTCCACTGCAATGTACAATAATAAATAGGCAATAATTTCAATTCCTGCTGTTTATTATACTTACTTTATAGGTATACAACTGTTGAAAAAACTGCAATTTCAAATTGATTTTTTGTGTTCAAAGTGTACAATTTTTCAATATCAAAATACTATTCCATTATTTCACAGAAAAGTGTAAAAAACGTACACTTTTTTTCACGGTTGTTGCTATAGGCAGAGGCGATAGAATCAATGCTGCGTGAAAGAAGCCCATATGCGTTGTTGGTAGGCTGTTTTGTTTGACGAACAAGTCTGTTCGAACAAAAAATGACGCAAAATCGAAGTGTCGCGTGTGACTGCAAAATGGTCGTTTTTGCTAGCCGCGCACCACACATTTTGGTTTTGCGTCATCTTTGTTCGAACATACTTGTTCAACGAACAAAACAGTCCACCAGCAACAACGCAGTCTATGGGCTCCTTTACGGGATTCAGCAAGGCAGCAAGCGAACTAATTAAGGCGGCTGACTTCGTATTTTGAATGGAGTGAAAGTGAAATAGAGATGAGAGCGGGAAGAAGGTACCACGATATCCTCGCTTATTATGCTCGCATCTCATGCATATATGTATGATTTGATCAGCACTTAGATACATCATGAGTTGATTGAGGTTGTCCTCTTTTCTGACAGTTGTAGGAAAAATAGTGTATGCAACCATTTTGTTATCTATAGGTAGAAATAATTACCTACGTATTTTATTCATAAAGGAGGCGAGTTTGGAATATTTAGGTATATTAAAGTGCAACAATCATACACTTTCTTGAAAAATTATAGGTAGAGTCTATGCAAAGTCTGTTGAAACAGATCATCAAAGAAATGTCGGGAAAACGGACCGACGGCCCGCGGTTGATGTGTTGTTCCAACTGACTTAGCATAGACCTCACCTAATATTAATTACTGCGTTGTTTTATACTATGGTCTTTTTGAATCGTAACTCGTAATTACGTATATTTGATTCTTCAATCTCAACATTATAGAAACTCCAAATGGCGATCAATTATTCCACGTAAGTAAGTAAGTAAAATTAATATGTATTGATGAGCAACATGTGACAATAAGCGTATAAACGATAATTTGACAATATTTCATTGTATATAGGTTAAGAAATATAATAATAATATGCACAAAGTCACCTGAGACAATAACTTATCATTTTATGTAGGTACTGATGCGGTAATAAGAGTTATGATATTTGAAAAAATATCGTTTGTTCGTATGGACATATAGACAATAAAATATTCCTTCAAAACCATCAGCTCCTTTATTGCTTTAGATAATTTCTATTTCATCCCCTCCTTCAAAATTATAATTCATGAAAAATTTTTTATCAACAACTTTTGAGAAACTTTAGAATTAGCTTTAACGAAATGATGAATGGATTTTGTTACAAAAATTATTTCTCTGATATATTTCATTTTCCTCTATCGATGTCCCGATTTTGTAAAAAAATTATTGTATAGTTATGCATGTATACCTACTTTTATATATAAATTTATACAGGACGTTTTCAATAGTGAGGCACCTTTCTCCATAGAATGTAGAATTCCAGCCAAAAGAACCATTTTATGAAAATAAACTATATAAGAGTTGTAAATTACGGAGATATTAACAATAATTGATTATTCCATTAATTGTTATCACGGATCCAAGATGATTGTAATATCGGTCCGACTCCTTTTTGTTCGGGTGGCGGAAATTTGATCGAAAGACAAATGATAGAATAACATTTTATAGAAGTCTTTTGATCGAAAATCAAAAAATATAAGGAACTTTTCACCGAAAATACATTTGATCGAATGTTTTATGATCGAAAATACATTTGATAGAAACATAAATGATAAAAAATACAATTGATAGAAAAAATATTCGATAGAAGATACACTTGATAGAAACAGCATTTGATAGAAAATTCAACGGGGCTACGCTCAAGTTAGGTCAGTTCGTTTGTAAAGATATGATCCTTCCTCATATATTTGAGAAGAAGGAGCTAGAAGTTTGTGGTATCAATAAATTCATAAGCTTCGATTTCCATCTAGCTCCTTCTTCTCAAATATATGAAGAAGTATCATATCTTCACAAACGTTCTGACCTAACTTGAGCGTAGTCCCGTTGAATTTTCTATCAAATGCTGTTTCTATCAAGTGTATTTTCTATGAAATATTTTTCGTATCAATTGTATTTTCTATCATTTATGTTTCTATCAAACATATTTTCTATCATAAAACATTTGATCAAATGCATTTCTATCAAAAACACTTTCGATCAAAAGACTTCTATTGAATGTTTTTCTATCATTTGTCTTTCGATCAAATTTCCGCCACCCTTTTTGTTCAATCGACGATAGTTCAGTCGATTCGTTCAGTTTATAACATGTACATACTTAATGTAGCGTAGTTGTGAAATAATAATTAGTCTGTGAATGGCTTATATTTTCATGTATTTTGTTAAATAAATGAGTCACACGACGTTTGCTCGATTAATGTATAGGTATAATGGACTTGTTGAATTGTTTTTGTTTTGGTGAGTTCAGCCGAAGTGTGCGGCATCTTTGAACTTATTTTTGTGCATTTTTTGGTGAAATGGTCGATTCTGTCAATTTTTACATCCTGTCGAAAAATACCTCACCATTGAACACACTTGTATATGAATAATAATATGAGGAGGTACCAAAAACGTCATGTTATTGTTTCAATAACTTTTATCACATAGGTAATAATAATATAGGTATGCTCTTATAAATGTTGTTACCAATCCTATCTGAGTGTGAATTATGTTAAATATATACTTATATAAATGCTTATTACATAAATTTATTTTGAATTGTTTTCATATCGAGTTTCATATCCATTAAATTTAGTTTGAAAAAAAAAGTATCTGATTTTATTATTCTGATGTCTGCATGGTCTGACGCCATTCTACATGTATCCACCCTGAAAGGCCTACCTCTCTGTGAACCATCATTTTTTGAACAATCTTGATGAATTTTGTTCTGTCACGTATTTGAAAAGAGAATAGACGAAATCGGTAAGTACCTTCATATCTACATCAGATGATCATATACAGAGTGAGCCTTCGAAAACGAAACAGAGGCTCTGCGTAGGTCGCCAAAACCGGATTATGAAAAAAATCTGAAACACGTACTACATTTTTGAGGGGGACATCGTTGTAAAATAGTTTCAGCCTTGCGGCTTTGCCGCTTCTAACGGAAAGAAGCAACAACTTTGTTATTTCAAATAACATTTAATTGGAACATATACAGGGTGATCAGAATTGTGAATCTTGAACCACCCTATATTTGTTTCGAATAAATGTCCAGTAGATAGTAAATCACAAGTTAGGATAGGGACATGAAAACCGTTTTGACCAATAATGACTAGTTTCGACACAAAAGAAATGCTAAAGTTGAAAAATCTCGATTTTGAACACTTTATATCCCTGAAACCATTACAGCTAGACGCCAAGTGTGATTCATTGATGAAATCAGCGCTTCGGGGAGAATCTAAAAATGCAATAAAATACAAGGTGTTCCATTTGAAATAACAAAGTTGTTGCTTCTTTTCGTTAGATGCGGCAACGCCGCAAGGCAGAAAATATTTTAGAACGATGTCCCCCTCGAAAATGTAGTTGACGTGTTTCAGATTTTTTCATAATCCGGTTTTGGCGACCTACAGAGCCTCTGTTTCGTTTTCAAAGGCCCACTCTGTATAATATTACAAGTGATAATATTTCCTGATAGAATCCGCGTTGTTATACTTTTTGTGGAAAAATCTCTGGAGTACTTTTCTCGGAATTAAAGGCTTATTAAAGTGTTCGTAGTTGGGCCACAATTGCAGAGGCTAATGAAGATATGAAGGTTTGACGGTCGAGATCCAGAGCCCATAGACCACCTCTTTGTTACGCTACTGCAAACGCTAAATGTAAAATCGCTACTGACAATGTTTTCGAGAGTCACTGTATTTTCGCCACGATGTTTTCGCCATCTCTTGTGGAATGGGAAAATTATCTCGACTAGATGACAGTAAATATAGTGAATGTGAAATTTATCAAAAAATGGGTAGGGACGGTAGGGTCAAAGGATCGAAGGAACATTTAAGAGAAACAAAAGAAGATGATATGCTGAATAGTCGACAATAAATAAGGGACAAATCAACTAGAACGATAATAAAGATAAGAAAGAAGAAGTAGAGGAAATTCCTCGAAATCTTCCAAACAACGTAACCTATAAATAGTTCTAGACTAGAAGCAAGATGGTGGTTAAAGTTTTCGAGATTATATGAAATCCTTGAAATCAATGTGAATAAATTATTGTATATGATTTCGTTCTGACATTTCTGTGAAATCATTCATCGATAGTAATTTTCAACTTGAATAACTGGCCAGTACCGGCATTCATCGTTATCTATCTATTCTGTTGATGTTCCAGGAACATTTTACCTATCTAATTTTAAATACTCTCTGCAAATATGTCTACATTGTTGTGCAAAAATTCCGTAGTTAGAATATACCAAGAAGTGATCGAGGATGTAATATCAGGGGTAAGAGAACTATTTTTGGAAGATGGAGTGGATGAACAAGTTTTGCAAGAACTGAAGCAGACATGGGAAACGAAATTGATGAGCACGAAAGCCGTTCAGGATGAACCGGTGGAGAAAGTAGTGAAAAAGACTGAGACTGCCAGTAATGGTTTCCCCAAGGTTGTTAATTCCATACAGCAACCTGTTGCTACCCAGCAAGTTCAACAGTTACTTCAGCAACCTACACAGCAGCCACAATTAACACAAATTCATCAACTAGACAAACAGGTATATAGCAAACTACTTCAACTTGAGTATTTCCATCTTCCAAGAGATTATATTCTCATTGATTATCTGATGATTAAATAAAAGATTGAAAAATTATTCCTCATTATTACCTACATATGTAATATATTGAATGTTCCTTCTCTATTGAAAACTTCAATTCCATTTATTTTTAAAATTAGACTCTTTATTAAGGTACCAATACAAATCACTCTACCCCCACAACCTGGGTCTGATGGGGCCCAGAGAGTTCTGACAATTCAAGTCCCAGCATCAGCCTTACAAGGCAATCAGCTGCAAAAGGTTCTGACAGGTCCTGTGATAACTGCCACTATGGGACTTCCAGCAAATATAGCCTCATCTTTGCTACAACAACATGTCAATGCTGCATTCAACAGTCAACAGCAAGCCACTGTAGCCATAGTGAACAAATCTGTAATTCAGGCTGATGGGGCAGCAGACACAGATGAGGACAGTATTGATCCAACTCCCTGTACATCATCATCTGTTGAAGGAATTCTGGAGAAATCTGAGGAAGGAATAAGCATAGAAATCATTCTTCCCAGAAACAAGAGGAGAAAAGGTAACTTCACACATTTGCATGATTCATTTGTTGAAATAATTCTATATTGTAGATACAAAGATGAAGAAGTTGAAACATGCAGTGCTCAGTCAAATTGATGGGCCACATGATACATCTGATGATGATGAAGATGGTTCTGATGATGACAATGATGATGATGATTTGGATGATGACAAAGATGAAGAAGATCAAGAAATGGAAGATGAAGGTAAGATAATATAAGGGTATAAAACCTTCAAATAGGTATATTATAAAATGATAAAAAAAGCAGAAAAATCAAATCAATTTTTTTTCAATCATCAATGAACAATTATTACTATTATTTTTATAATATATTATGTAAACTGGACCAATAGACTTCCCTGAAGATTTTCTCACTCTCAAATCACATAATGTAATTTACTGCTAATTGAATTTGCTATCTTCAATACAATATTCTGTGTGCTTCTTCCATCTACTGATTTTAGTTCAAATTCCCTCATCAAAGATTCATGGTTTTCAAGGTCATTATCTGATTATCTTAAATCATTTCACAACTCCAGGCATACATTGAAAGTTTAATATGTTTTCCCCAGTTTTAATGTCATCACAACATCAGATGATGACCTTGAAAACCCGGAATATATCACAAAACAGTGAAATCATGATATCATGGTACTCTAAACTTTCATTGAGAAACAAAGGAAAGGTATAAACAAATGGATTTGGTGTAAGCACCTTTAGGTACTTGAAATAATGCTTCTTCTCTTCAGCCTGTCCTGCAAATGGTGTATTTTCAACATTTTCAGAGTCATATCTTCATGATTATCAATATTTTGAATAGGAAAGTAAGAAACATAGTAGTGTTAGTACTGTTAGTCCACCTTCTATAGGCCAATTTCCACCTCAATTTTGCTGACTACATGTCATGCTGTTTTTTACTTAGCTATTTGTAACTTCATAGACCAAACTTTGCTAGTGGCAATTCTTCATCAAAATTCATAGGGTGATTGTCAATTGTCATTTCAAGGGGCTAGTTGCCTGGTAATGAATAATAAAGGAGTTCAGCTACCGTTGAGAGAAAAAAAACAGTTTCCCCATCTGTCCTTGTCTTCAGTGTTCCAATATAAAATAATGAAAATTTTATGTTGGCAACACTGGAAATGAGAAGAAATGGAGAAGACCATTCTAACCTTCTTTATATTGAGGTTATTATGATCTTCCTCTCCATTTTTTCCCATTTCCAATGTAACCAACATACATCTACTACTCATATCTGAAGCATAGCTGTCCTCAAAGCAGGAGTAACTTCTGTCTCTATAGGTAGTGAAATCTACCAATAGGCGTTGATGCCGACGGAGGGAAAAAATAATATGACAATATGGCTACTAATTTCAAATTTTCCATCCTTCACTTTCCGTTCTTATTGATTCGCGTGCAAGAACTGTCAGATGACCGACCCTGGAGGCAAAACATATTTGTTTACAAGTGATGGAAATAGTTTTCCACAATTATTTTGGCATATGAATCGTATTTTTCCGCTATTCATCAATTCGTTAATGCCATAACATTGTGCTGTTGTAAAATGCACAAAAACTGCAGCAAAAGATGAAGAAATCCGGATGGTACATTATGATTCAAAAGTAAGTACCTACTATAGTCACTCACATAGTTTTCATTTTTGAAATTCGGTTATTTCTCTGATTTCTCATCGGAATTCCTTCTGCAATAGGATCTGCTAATAGAAATATACCTGAAATTTCTAGAATAATGCAAGAAGATTGGATTCATGCAATCAATCGGTAGGACTGGTCTGACATGCTGACGATCGTGTGTGTTGTAGACATTTTCAATCTATTAGCAGCATTAGCTTGAATTGCAGAAGTGGCAGAAGGAATTTTAATAAGGAATGACAACATTTCATAATGATAACTATGTGAGATTACTATTTACCTGAAAAATCATATTCCCTAGTCTCTTGCTGCATTTTTTGTGCATTGTACAACAGCACAATGCGAAGGCATGCTTGAATTAATGAATAACGCAAGAAACACGATTCGTATGCCAAAATATTGTGAAAAACTATTTCAACCTTTTGATTCCTCTGTAACCAAATAAAAAAGTGAGGTTGTGTTTCAATAATTCACAGAAGAATGAGGTTGTGTTTCAATAATTCACAGAAGAATGAGGTTGTGTTTCGATATTTTGCCTCCAGGGTCGGTCTTCGTGCACGCGACCTATAGGCAATGCGCCATATATAGAAATAGTTGATATATGGTTACCAACCTCAGACGAATAAAAGAAATAGACCCGTATTATCTATCCTTTTTCTGAAGCCAACATACTTGTCAAGACCCCTCATTAACAAGATAAGAGCCGACTGGTTCGTGTATCGTCGGATGCATTGAGTTCGGGCTCGTTCGGGCGTGGTCATTTCAGTCATTGTTTTGATTTTTGATAGTATTGAGGTTAGTGTTGTTGTCTGTCGTAGTTTTGATTTCCTGTGTGTATTTTCTGTGAGAATTGTATTTTTTCGTGTGGAAGACGATTTATGGTGAATATGGGTAAATCTTGCATGATTTGTGGCCTGAAGAAAGTTCCTGGAGATGAGATATCAGTTCATCGGTAAGTACCATAGACGTAGGCACGGACGTAGGTAAGGGGTTCAGTTCTGATGAGTACCTATGTCATCGGATATATGTTAGATGTAAGATATTAGGTGTAGTGAATGTATGCTTAGACCTTATTTCTGCTCAAACGAATAAAAAAAGGGTGTATGAAATGAAGAGAGTTTAAAAATTACAGATTTCCTTCAGATGAGAAAATGAAGAAGGTGTGGTGTGATGTCCTAAAATTGGAAGTGGCTGATTTGAAAGACACATCTTATATTTGTTCCAAGCACTTCCACAAAAAAGATATTATACAATGGCCTAGTAGAACATTCATCAAGGAGGCTGCAATTCCATTTCTCGTAGATATGGAATCAGAATCAATGTGAGTACTTGCCTAGTTGAAATAAAAGTGTGATAGGTGAAAATAGTATAACTCTTGTTTCAGTGAGGAATATAGGAAAGCATAGAAAGGCCACTGTTTTGTGTATTTATTTTATCTCTGAATTCATAGTTTTTTTCAGAATTCAAACTTCTTGTCATATGTGTATGTGTAAAACAGGGTGTTTCAAGAATAAACACCAAAAAATCACAATAATGTATTCCTTGCAGATGAATAATTAAGTTCCTGCAGGCATATATTTCTGCAGGAGTGCAGGATGATCCTTTGTTTCCGTGATATACAGGGTGGAACTCCTGAAATACTTTTCATAATTGTTAAACAAAAATGTCTGAATTCAGAAAAGAAAGTCTGAATTCAGACAAAAAAGTATGAATTGAGAGAAAAAAGTGTGAATAACGAAAAAAAATTAAATACACACAACAGTGGCCTTTCTACGCTTTCATAGGAATAAACATGGTATTCCTACGATTTTTTTTATTGTATTGTATTTTGACCTTTTTTCAGATCAACTGAACCAATTGCATCTTCTTCCCACTCAGAGAGCCTGGATGAAATGCAGAACATTGTGGAAGAAACGATAAGGTACTTAATATTATTTAATTTTAATATTATTATAGCAGAAGTTGTCTATTTTAATCATTTCAAATATCTGGGTTATTATATTCATGATATTGTCTAGAATGACAAATAAAATTTTTGTATTCAAAATTGGCATTGCCACTAATTTCACTGTGGAAAATAGGATACCAATAACAGTGATTGCTTTTGTATTTCAGTGTTGAACAAACAAATGGAGCTCAGTCAAGACATAGCATTGCTACAATATCTGAAGCTGTTGAAGTTAATGATAGTTCTATGATTGGAAATCCTAAGTGAGTCACTCAATAATTACTATATGCATTTTATGAGGATAATGTATACCAATATTTTTTTTTGTATTGTTGATTTTCTTTTAGTGAATCATTTTCATCTTCTTCAACCTTGACGGCCTCAGGAACACAAAGTGGTATGGAAGAAACTAGGTAAATTTAATAGTTCATCATGAACATGTATTAAAAAAATAGTGAATCACAAATTTATATATCAAATAAATGTCACACTTTCCAACATAAAAATAATGCAATTATGCAATATTCCAAGCTATAAAAAAAAACTGAATTATATTGTGTCCTATTGAAAATCAAACATTGTATTGATTTTTTTGTTTTAGCCCATCAAAGACGGATAGTGCAGAAAGTGACGAAGTTTATGATAAAGATAATTTTGTTGTTCCAAAAACCTGCAAATTAACTAAACGAAAAAGGACAACTGATACAAGTGATTCTGTATTGCCTCCAAGAAAAAGGTATTTGATTAATTTAATATTTGTGATAAAATTATTATTACAAATGTCCATTATAGAATAATCATATTTGCAGTACACTGATGTATTCATCTTGATATTTTGGAGTACACAATATGAACTACAGAATTTTAGAAATTCAATTTCAATTATAATTTCACTGTATTTTTAAAGGTAATGTCTTTCAGGGTTCCACTTCGATATATAGGAGATTGTGAAAGTGATGATATGAGAGATCCTAGAACTGCAAAAAGATGTTTGGACATTAGTCGGAAATCCATAAAATATCAATCCATAAAAATCAAAAGGCTTCAACAAATGAATAGGAGACTGAGAGGAAAAATCCACTCCTTAACAGCACTTACAAACCATTTGCGACATAAAAATCTTATAACCGAAGATGCAGAATCTGTCATTAGTGTGAGTTATTGTTCATTAATGTTCTCAAGACAATTTCATTAATTGTTGAATTCCTTAGGCATCAGTCTCAGGAGCTGCAAAACAATTGATGACAAGAATGCTGAAAAAGTCAAGAAGTCAGAAGTATTCACCTGAACTGAGGCAGTTTGCATTGACTTTGAATTTTTATTCTACCAAGGCCTATAATTATGTCAGGAATACTTTTCTGAAGTGCCTTCCACATACAAGGACTTTGACAAAATGGTACCAAACCATAGATGCATCTCCAGGATTTTTGACGGAGGCAATGGCTGCTTTGAAACTTAAGGTGGCAGAAGCTAACTCTCGTGGACAAAAAATCTTGTGCAATCTCGTATTTGATGAGATGGCCATCAGGAAAAGAGTTGAATGGGATGGTGAAAAATTCCATGGTTATGTAGACATGGGAATCAATTTCCAATCAGATAATTTAGAAGAGGCAAAAGAAGCATTGGTTTTTATGTTGGTGGCATTAAACTCCCATTGGAAAATTCCTGTAGGATATTTTTTGATCAGTGGGTTAGGTGGCTCTGAGAAAGCTAATTTAGTTACAAAATGCCTTGAGTTCGTTCATGAGAGTGGAGTAATTGTAACATCAATGACATTTGATGGAGCTCCAACAAACTTTGCAGTTGCCAATCATTTGGGGGCAAATTTGAATGCTTCAAATTTAAAAACATATTTCTCACATCCCATTACTGATGAACATGTATATGTATTTCTTGATCCTAGCCACATGGTTAAGCTGATGAGAAATTGCCTGGGAAGTCAAGAAATAATTGAAGATTCCCAGGGGAATTCAATCAAATGGGAATTCATCGTCAAGTTATGTGATCTTCAAGAGAATCAGGGGTTACATGCTGCCACAAAATTAAGGAAGAGGCATATTGAATGGGCAAAAGAAAAAATGAAAGTGAGACTTGCGGTTCAAACCCTCAGCAAAAGTGTAGCTGAAGCTTTAGATTTTGTTAATAAAGACCTGAAGCTAAAAGAGTTTGAAGGATCTGAAGCTACTGCTAATTTTTGTAGGATTATTAATAATCTTTTCGATATTTTCAATTCCAGAAGTAGATTCACCAAGAAACCTTTCGAGAGGCCCTTATCACCTGCAACGAAAGAGGAATATTTTAACTTCCTTACTGAATGCAGCAGTTATATTCGATCACTTAAGTTAAAAGGTATACCAATTCTTGAATCAAACAGAAAAAGTGGATTTTTAGGTTTTCTTTCCTGTATCGAGAGCTTAAAAAGTTTGTATGAAGAACGAGTAGAAGTTAAAAAGGAATTGAAATATATTCTGTCATATAAAATATCTCAGGACCACTTGGAAATATTTTTTGGATGTGTTCGGAGTAAAGGAGGCTATAATAATAATCCTACAGCACGTCAATTCGAGAACACTATGAAAAGATTATTAATTCATACAGAAATTAAAGCTGGTGATAGTGGTAATGCAATAGCACTTGATTCAACTTCGATTCTTCATTGCTCAAGTTATGTTCCAACAAAAAATAAATTTGTTGAAATTGATGCCAAGATACAAGAGTCCTATGAAGAAAATATTGATCATGATTATGTACATTCATCAAATGTTTGGAACATGACTTTGTACAATGAAGATGTAATAGGGTATACTGCAGGATTTGTCGTGAGAAAAATAAAACCAAACGTCCATTGTAATTTATGTCTGATTATGTTAGAAACTGATGAGAATATTTCAGCACTACAGTTGAGAAAAACATATGGACGATTGATTAAGGCATCTGAGTTTGTTATAAATGTTTGCAAAGAAGGCGAAAAGTGCTTAAGGTCATTCAAGTCATCATCAAATTTGTTTTCAAGAGAATTCGGGAATTTAAAGAACTTTCTGATTATAAAAACCATACAGAATCTACCAACAAATATATATAATTCCTTTGAAGATCATTTCTATGATGAGGAGCCCTTGAGTAACCATGGTTATGTATTGACCAAATTGATCTTGGATTCATTTTTTCACATAAGGATTCACCATGAAACAACGGCTAAAGAGAGTGAAAGACCAGCACGAGTTCGATCATCTTATACAAAGAATATTTTATTCAAAAATCAATAAGCTTTAGCAATTTTTTTGTTTTTTTTTGTGTAACCATTTTGTATAAGTATATATTGCGAGTTTTGATCATTAAAAAATTATTTGAAGTATGGACACTTTATTTTTATTTACCATATTCAGAAAAAAAAAGAGTATGAAATTCGATTATGCGCCAAGACAAGTTAGCCCCATCAGATTAATTTCTATGTAGGTACACATTTGTCGTAGACACTTCATTTTCCAGTCTATGGACATACTTTCCTTTATTTTTTCAACTACAAATACCTACCAACTTTCAATTCCCTATAATTTGATATTTGCTTTTATTATCACAATATTTTCTTGCAAAATAACTGGGGTTTGAAATAATATTACAATCATGGATAATTTATTTTTCAGCCAACATCCATCCTCACAATTTGTTTTCTGCAATTATAATAGTTTTTCTTCGAATATTTCAATTAACCATTATTCGAAAAATAATATGCGTAATTTAACCATAGAAATTCAATTTGGTCCGCCTATGACTGAGGGGTCTGAGTAAACAGAGATGGATATAGGTCGCACTCTTCTAGCCTCAACAGAGATAGCCATATCCCTGTTACAAACAATATAATGCATTGAAGGTAGGGTTGGCGGGTCTATTTCTTTTATTCGTCTGAGTTACCAACATACAATTTCCATAATTTTACGTTGGAACACTGAATACAAGGACAGATGGGGAAGACTTTTTTTTCTCTCAAAGCTAGCTGGCAATGGCATTCAATTACTCCACTGGGTCGAGAATGACCTGAATTAGTTTTTGCATCACTTCAGATTCCTTTTTTATGTAAATAATGTGTCTCTGTGTTGTTTGAAATTGTTGAATTTCAAAGCTCATTCAAACGGCCGCCATTCGGCCATGTTCTTCGATACGTCGGAAATAATATGACGTCAGTTCTTATGCTGTTTCATTATTGGTCAGATAATCTTCCATTCCCACTCATAAAGCAAGGTTGTCAGATCACCAATTGTAATCAAGTAATTGAAAAGTTGTTGAAGCCCTATCGTTGAATAGAACTTCATCCAAATAAACTATTTCATTTGCCCTAGTACGGGAAAGTCATGATATTATAGTTATTAATTTGTGACTGTTTCAAGCAACCAGCTTCTCTTAATATTTCTTTCACTCCATGACAAAACATCATGTAAATATTGGCTAGGGAGACTTGGTGATGCTATGCTGATGCTGAGAACTGACAAGACAAAGCCCACAGTCCTGTGTTGTCACATTTACCGTACCAAATGTCCTTCAGTATGAATTAATATAATCATTATTATCACAAATTCATCATAAGCAATAAGACACAACATATAAGAGGGACAATTTTGCGACAATGGATTTTTTTATATTTAAGGATATTACTAATACATAATAAAGAATTTATAAATTATTAATCAATAATATTTCTGAAGTTTCCACTCGTATTTCAACATATGGCAACTGTGCTATCGTCTGTCCCCATATACGAAATCGTGATGTCAGTTTTTATTTGCGGTAAATTTCTAGCCGTTTGAAAATCTTCTTGACAATATTGATGATTTTAGCACTTTAAAATCGACCGAAAAGGTCTAAAAAATGTGGAATTAAATGGTAATTGAGTAATGATTCTATTTGAAAAATAAAAAAATAGTCCACTAGCCCATATTTCTTCTTGAATTTCAAGTCTTCATCGAACTAAACTGCAAACAAAATGGTCACACACTGAAGTAATTTTGCAATGAAGATAATATCTGAAATACCTCTACTGTTTGCCCATTCAAATGTGTCTCTAGAAACAGGTTTTGAAATCGTTCAATCAATACTTTACTTATTATGAAAGTAAATAGAATTCTGAAAATCCAAGAAGTTCACCTCATCAAAAATAGCCTAACGTCACAAAAGATTAGTTGAGGCCACCGCAACCGCAACGTTAGAATATGACCTTGGCTAGCGTGCGAATATTTTGTGTGACCGTTTGTTAATATCAATTGACCATACTTTCAAGGTTGGGACATGTTGTTGTTGTTTCAAGGTCATCATCTGACGTCGCGATTAGTTAAAACTGGGGGGGGGGGGAATTTGTAACTTTCAATCTTTGCCAGGAGTTATGAATGTTTTCCCCAGTTTTAACGTCATCGTCTTGTCAGATAATGACCTTGAAAAGCGCGAATTGTGAGGTTGGCTACAATGGTGTCAGATAGAAGTGAAATCGGCTTCTTCCTAAAAAAATATTCATTTCTATTAGCTCAAAATCTGTGGAATTGTCAGTCATAGAATGTTGCACCAACAACAACTTCTTGGACCCTTCATTTTTCAAACTAACTATAATTGACATTACCAAAAGACAATACATTTAACAAGTGACAGTAGTTGTTACCAACACAATAACAGAAAATGACTCACCCTTCTCAAGTCGCTCAAGTCCACGTCTCAATGATGTCTAGAGTGAATTAGATCTTAAATCAGACGGTGGAAAAATATACAGGAAGGCATTCAAATTAACTGACTGTATTGGAATTTTGAAGGCGGCGAAGAGGAACCCCTGAATTCCGAAGATGACGTCACAGACGACGACCCCACCGACCTTTTCGACACAGACAACATAGTCGTGTGCCAGTATGACAAGATCATAAGGAACCGAAACAGATGGAAGTTCTATCTGAAGGATGGAATCATGAATTTGAATGGGGCGGACTATGTCTTCCAGAAGTCGACTGGCGATGCAGAGTGGTGAAATTATGTAACTATAAATATAGGAATCTGAGAGACTGTTTTTTTTTGTATATTAGGCAAAATGTGTTTTGTTATCAAATATGAATTTCGTTCTGGTGAACATATCATATTAAGGTGTTGATAAGTTTCCATAAATCAATTTCCACAAGATGAGAGGCACGCACAATAACAGCTGATTGCTTTTTATTTGTTCAAAAAAACCTGAATCAAATCATCTTCCTCAACAAACATATAGTTTCTTTTGACTTTTTTGTACTTGTAATACAATATGAAATCCAGTTGTTCGCCTGATAATTTCAAACTCATCCTCCTAAGGTATACGGTAAGGAACAGTATCCTTTTTTTTGTACCGGGTGACACCCCTTATACTCGGTATTTCTTTGGACAGTATAAAAAATATTTGATAATCTACATGGGATTATTTTCCTCCTCTTAGCAACAGAGATGAATTTCCACTCACTAAGAAAAGTTTTTTGACAGGTATGCTGCTGCATATCTCGATTTTTTCCGAGAAGGAAATATATACCCTATAAAATGGGGTAGGTTTTGCATAAAATTTTCATTTCATTTAGGTAAATGTCTATGAGTATATGGACACACATGATACTGTTACAATAAGTACCAAACAAGAACATGAAATGAGTGAAAATAAATTGAACATCACAGATAGTTCTTGGCACACCACTCCAGCGTAAAATAATCTATGATGGATTTCATCCAATATAGAAATCAGGCGCAGTGTCCAAGCTCAAGACAAGTCACTTTGCCATACACAGGGTGTTTCAGATTGTAATCGAGAAAATATAATACATGATAGATCTCCTAAAAATGAAAAGGAGAGTTCCCGAACTTGTAGTTTTGGAGCTTCATTTTTGGGATACAAGGTAATTGTTTTTCATTCACAGCTCAAAAACTATTCAGCTGATTATCGTTGAACTAGCAGGTTTGTTTTGTAGTAGGAATATATATTTTTTTGGACAACATATCACCAGTGCTCCATTTTTTTTTGAGAAATGTTTTCTTTGATAACTTTCATTTGAATATTAAAAATAAATCTAATTTTGGTGATTGACTGAACAAATGAATGCATTTGATGAGCTTTCATGTATCCAATCAGGAGTCTGTTGTTTTGCTGTAGTCAGATATGGACTGCCTACGATTGAGCACACCCCAAAAACTGATTTTTTCAAATATTTTTCGGCAAAACAAGGTTTCACCTGAGCGTCCATTATTATCTGAAAAGGAAAAAAGGGAGCTAACCATTTTGAGTTCATTATACCGGGTGTAACAAGTTAATGGTATACCCACTCTTTTTCCTTTAGTTGTAGAGATAAGTGATTGAAATTTGGAATAACCCATCAACTTGATAAACATCACGTTTGGACATAAATATGTTTTATTTCCAACCGGTTTCACCAAAAATTGTAATAACTTAATTTTCAAATGGAACACCCTGTATATCATTGCATTCTAAAATTCTGTATCTAACCACATAAGTGACATTTAAACATTCAAAACTTCAATAGGTATTACTTTTATTTTCATTGTTGATTCTCATAAGTAATGTCGCCATATTCTAAATATTCGAGATAATTATTGATGTACGGCAACACAATTGAGATATTCAGAACAGAGTGGTATTTTGCTAGACTATTTCACGTTCACGAAGCAAACAACTTCTTTATTATAAATGAGTGATTCATTCTGACAAGTACAGCCATAATTATTTTATGCCAAACTGACAGACTGATAGATCAGAATTGAAAGACAGCTGATGTTTTCGTGATGAGTTCTGTTCTGATGTATTCCTATCAACGGGTGTTATGCTAGAAAACAATAATATCATTCAAATTACTTGACTTATTACTAAATTAAGAACATTAAAATGGTTTATTGGTGTACTATGATCCTGTTATACCCGTTATGTGAAACTGCATTGTCGCCTTGGGTTAGTTTTAATCTTAAATATTTTCATCAGTACTAACTGAATAATAAACCTATCATTTTGTCCTTGTGATTTTTTATTTTGTATGCAATAAAAACTACCAGAAAGAGAATCAAACAAAATCTTATACCACGGTTTCATAGAGTGGAAATTTTGAACTTTCGCCAATCTGGGCATGAATTATCGTTGACGTCTCAAGAGAAAAATCTGCTATAATGACTTCTCAAATTTTCCTATCAATATATCTAACAAATGCCTTCAGGTTGCAATATTTTTTTGTTCATAACAGGTTCTTATTTCACGGAAAGAAGTTATGCATCATTTTTATTTGCTCTTGAATGTCATAAAATTGTTATTGAAAGATCTTAGATTATATCAATGATGGAAATAAGTAGGTGGCGTACTTACCAATGAGCTTTTGTTTCAGAAATTCTTCTCCACCTCCCGAGAACAATGTTTTCGGTGGTTTTCGGATAGATGGCGACATTGCACAATTATAACATCTGTCAATTTTTAAATTGCCGATGATTTTTCGAATTTAGAGTGAAATAAACCCGCTTTCACAAATGTTCTGCGTACCTAAAATGCCATTTGCTATTTTATTTCCACTTGTCAAAGCAGCAATAGCAGCATCACCATCTAGTGGAAAAAGTAGATTCAACGTCTCGCTCGATGTGACGTAGAGAAATCATAGTAGGTACGTGAAAATGGACGCGCACCATCTACTCATTTCCATAATTGTTATATCAGTGCCAACCATTGGTGTCAACAGAAAATAAATGGGCAATTATTGATATAGTTGAAAATTTGGAGTGTCATCCACTATTGATGTAAGGTTTCGTCCTCTTGAAGTGTAACAGGTTTTGTAAATTGATTTATGCAAGTTAATGGTAGGTAATATTGATACTATACATATGGGGTGTTTCAAATTTCAGTGTCAAGATTTCAGGGACTTATTTTCAGATCAGAATGACACTTTTTTCCATAAACATGAATCCGCAAATGCTTCCTTGCAGATGATCTACAGAGCTTCTTCAGCTTGTTTGCTCCATAAACTTTTTTGTAGTGCACTACTGGTAGGTTTTGTATGTCCTAATAAGGGCATCATGTACAAACATTGTTTTTTTTATCGAACGGCATCTGTGCCAATCACTATCCTGAGCAAAATGATTGAAAAATTGCACTTTCCTGAGCGGTAATACTTCCGTCATGTGATAACCAGTTGAAACAAAGAGCAAATGAAAGGGAATAATGACCCTTTCGCCCCTCTCGAAAGATAATATCCGATGGACCAGTGTAAAACTCAACATGTGGATTTGGTCCATCGGATATTATCTCTAGACAGGGAGGAAATATTCTCGGAAATGCTGACGCTCTGGCACTAACTTACCTCAGTTTGAATCGCGGTACGTTTGGTTATTCGCAAATGGGACATTATTCCTTTTCATTGGCTTTTTCTTTCAATTCGTTATGACATGACGGCAGTGTGTCCGGTTTCATAAGATGTGCTGAGAATTAAAGAAACCTTGAAACTCTAACGCTCTGTAGATCGGAAACGGAGTGTTTGCGGACACATATTCATAGGAAACGAATAAAAGAAAACTTATTTTGACATGAAAAATAAGTCTCTGAAAACTTGATACTGAATTCTGAAACCCTCTATAAGACAACTCTTTCAGATAATTATTATTTATTTTTTGTATATATACTTTCTTGCTTTTAGAAATACTTAAATTTGTACTTTAACCAAAATATATATCAAAAAAATATTTCTTTTTTTTTAATATTGAACAACCCTGAAGAACTCACCCTTTACAATTTCGTCCTTTTGTAGGACACTAACTTTAAAGAATTTTTCTGTGATTTATTCCCAGGCGGTTACGACTTGTCATTCGTTGTTTTACACTTTGATCAGTAAAAACATAAATTTTTAATGTACATATAATTTGGTAAATTTACAATAATTGATTTTGGATACGAAAACATAGTCAAATAGGGATTAGTAACATATCCCAAAGATTATCAGAATGTCATTCAGTAAAAAACTGAATGAAAAATGTAGAACACTTTTTTCAATTATATTGATTGAAGTTGCAGATGACGAAGTTTTTCATTTTCTAAAGGTCATTTGTATTTATCAATAATAAAAAATAGTTCAAAATCGACTGAATTCGATTAAAATTCAATGTGACAATAGATAAAACATTCCTATATTGACTGCAACAATAATGAATACCTTGAATACTCAAATAGTTCAGACAAAAACACTAAATGCACAAATAATAAATATTACTTAAAATTATATATATATAAATACAAACAGAAATCAATAAATGGGAAATATTTTCTGAACTCACTTATGGGTAAGAAAATTACATATTTTGGCCACCTCCATTAAAATTAATTAGTGTAATATAATATGAGCTACAGATGTTACAGTCTGTTTTAATCAATATACCACATCAAGTTTTTCAGACAAGTAGTTTTGTGCAAGTTTCATGATAATAAAATTTCAAGATATATGGTACAAGGATACAGAACAATTCAAAACTAATGTAAGTTGTTGTCTACATCCTTTTTTTTTTGTTTTCAATCAGTTAATTCACGTCAAAAAGTTTGAAAACATAATATACAATTAACTATATATGAAATCAATTCAAACAATAAAGAGTAGGTACTTTTCTCAGAATTTTCGGAAAATGATAATACAGCTTTGCTACACTGACGTTTCTGCAAGCAGAAGTTATATGGGTATTTGGATTTTTTTGAAATATTTTTTCGGTAGGGGCCTGGCAGAAATTGAAATTATTTGTTTTTATTTTTCACAAAAATGTGTCTACACCTTGTTCATAACCACAAAGTTGTATAAAAATATCTAATGTTGTTTCTGTCACAAGAAAAAATTTTTTATAAATAAATCATAAACCTGTACATAAAAAATGACAGGAAAACACAGACCTATGATTTGAATGAATTTGTTGTCTTGAAACCAGTAAAACGAAATCATCCAAAATTCAGACAAATGTTTGTGAAAATAAAAGCACTAAAACAGGAAGTTTATAATTTATCTAGGCACTATGGGAGACATTTCTAAGCATGGTGGAATTATAATATGGTGTGCTACTCATGTGTCTTGAATTTGTCGTTTCTGGGCATAGGGTCAGTCTATATGCACACCAATAATGATCATGCCCAGATAACACCTATCTCCTTGAAAACTGACGACCGACTATTGAAATGGCGCCGAGGTGTCAATAATTTAATCACTGGTAATGTGTATTACGGCCGCCTGGACACCTCGACGCCGGGAAAGTACTAGAACTGCCGGGAAAGTACATGAACTGCCGGGAAAGTACATGAACTGCCGGGAAAGTACATGAACTGCCGGGAAAATACACGAACTATCGGAAGAGGTGTGCGATACAAATGCTGGGCAGCTGTTATCTGAGTGGCGACTTGGGTAAGTTGATAATTTCAAGCTCAAACAGCAAGCAATTGTTTTACTCCCAGTGACATAAATTAATATGCATCATAGCACACCATATTATAATTCCACCATGTTTCTAAGTATTTACTAATGAAAGACAAACATTTTTTGTTGTTGCTGAAGGTGTATTCAACAACTTGAATTAGTCAAATGATGCATTCCCAATGAATGAAGAAAAGCAACTGAAATGAAAATAATATGAATATTTCCATACCAATAAATTTAAATGCCATTTTCCCTATATCTTTTCTTGGAGAACTAACAGTGTAGTGAAATTTTTCAATATCTTTGATATAATTTCATCAATAATCCATAAATAAAACCCTAAAAGCATCACTTCTACCGCCTAAACCTATTTTTCAAGAACGACAAAGTCTTTGCCATCAAAGGAGCTTTTTTTGGCTTGATTGGTGCTGCAGTGCTCAAACTGCTACCTCTGTCAGCTGCTCTGCTACCAGGATTCGGAACAGACACCTTCCCTGCCTCCCCGGATTTTGCCAGGGCAACCAATTTTGTAGAAGCAGGGGTTTTAGCAGATGAGGTACCATGTTTGGCCTGCTGCCTGGCTATGTTTCTTGGAGGTTTGACAAAGGAATCCACATAAGCTAGCTTTGTAGTCCTGATGGGCACAGATTTGTCCTGGGACTGCTTGATGTTGGCAGTTATGAAATTGAGTCTTGCTTCACGTTCATCCAGGCATCTCATGTACATATCTCTCCAAGACTCCATCTCTTGCAGCTTTTTGGTTTTGAACTCACGCTGGCAGTGCAACTTCCAAAGCTCATCAGTGTCTTCAATGAGGTAAGGGTTGTGATGCTCCATGTTGAAGAGTTGGTCAGGAGTGGCTTTCTCCAAAATGGGTTTGAGGATCAAATAGGGCACCCCACCTGTGTATTCTAGAGCATCTATGTTGTCTTGTAATATCCTGATACAAATCTGGAATAAGGACTCAACTTTCATCACTGTCTTGTTGCCAGAATAGACCTTTGTTCTCTGGTTTTTATTGGACATAACTCTACACAATGCTTCATCATCAGAAATGAATCTTTTTTGCTGACAGTCTAAAGGCAAGCCTAATGGCTTGTAGTTGGGTGTTATTTCTGGTAACAAACTAGAAATGTTGATGTTTAGGGGTTCCAACTGTGGCTCTTTCAAGAGTTCAGGGACATGGTCTTCTACCTCATGAATGACTTTTGATTGGCTGGTACTTGACTTATTTGTTGGTGGAGAATCTACTGTCTTATCTTTATCTGATGATGATGGTTTGGGTTTAGAGGAATTTGAGGAACTGGATTTTTTCTTGCTCACTGAAGGACCACACATTCCTAGGGCTTCAGCAAAACTTGCCCCTGAATCAGAACCTATACCATGGACAATTACACCTTTATTTGAGTCTTTCACAACTTTGATTTTCTTTTCTTTGCTATGTTTATCCTTTTTACTAGATTTATGCTTTGAAATAATCTTCTCAGTATCACATTCTTTAGAGCTTTTAGAAGAATGCTTCTCTTTTTTATCTCCATACTGATGATGTTTGGAACCACTTGATTCTGAGGATTTCTTGGAATCCTCTTTCACCTTATTACTTTTGTTGTGTTCATGGGTACTTGAGGATTTAGACTTACTAGACTCATGTTTGTCTGAATGAGAACTAGATTTTCTTTCCCCATTCTCTGATTTGTGTTCTTTCTCCCTCTTTGAATCTGGTTTTTTATCTTTACTTTTATCAGAATTTTCATTTCTTGATTTTTGTTTGGAGTTGGATTCATCTTTACTGGAGGTTGACTTATGTTCATGAGAACTATGGCTTTCATCATGTTTAACTTTCTTTGACTTATGTTTTTCTTCTTTCTCATATTGACTAGATTCACTTTTGTGACTTCTTTTCTTGGAATGATGTTTGGTATTACTTGTCCTACTGATGTCATCATCAGAGTCAGTGCTATAACTATTACTTTTCGATGTCTGTGGTTTATTACTTCCATCATTTTTGCTACTAACTTTTATTTTGAATTGTTCATGAATTTCACTATCACTTGTATATTTCAACTCATTATATTCTTCTTTCCCATTAACAGTCTTTTCATCATTGCTATCACAGTTAATATCTTCATTGGTACTAGGATCCCCTCCATAGTTTCTACTTTCTTCTTCACTATCATTGCCCATTTCGTTCTCACTAGAATAAACTGAATCTACCTCTTCTTCAGGTTTTTCTTGTGATTGTTCTTGAGATTTATCTTCTTGCAGCACCATGTCTTTCCAAAATGCCACCAACTCCTTTGCTGTTTTACTTACTTCCCCACCATATTTCTTTAGAGCATTGACTGATCTTCCAACACCAGTATTTTCTAGATGAACAGTATTTATTGGAAGTTTACTTAGCTTACCAATATAATAAAGCAACTTTTCATCATTTTTATTAGCAACATATTTGTCCAGACGTTCTTGGTAATATCGTATATCTTTTATAATTCTTTCATTAGTAGCATCCATGGTTTACCAATTTTCCTCAGTGAATTTTCCAGAAGGCTGAGTTCTCAAGAGAATTTCGAAATCCCAGGAACAGCTGGCAAGAGGCAACTTGATAACAATTCAACTTTCAAGAGATATTTTTGGTGTGTAGTTAGGGCATATTTTGGAAATTGTTTGTTTAATATCTATGATTACTTCATATTTATTTGAAGTGCTTGATTATTTTTTTAAACTCGTTGCATTACCGAAATAAAAAATATTCATAAATTGATTACCTGACTATCACTGCATAAAAAGTACAGTATAGAAAGTAATGGAACCACAGTGTGTAAGGTAAGGTAATATTACCACAGCACCAATACAATATTATTTTATTATTAAATTATTATAGAAAGTGGAAAGAATTAAACAAGTGACAGAACAGAACTGACAGTGACAGAAATTGGGAAAGAGCCAGGAAGCTGTTACCCTGTCAAGTTCCAAATAATTTTTGTCAAGGTACTCAATGCAGCGTGAAGATGGCTAGGCATCAAGCTAGGCATCTACCATCCAAGGCTATTTAACTCTACCACCTATCTCAACTCGAGCCCAAACCAAACAGTGCCCAATCCTCTCTCGCCAGTCATAAAAATAGTAGCATGCTGCTGAGATATCAAGGAGCGCTCAGCCACCAATAGGCGCTTGCAAATCCGTATCAAGGAGGATGAGTTCCTCAAGCACTTTCCAAGTATCTGACCGCGAACTACAAACTGTGCGCATTTAGAGTTTTTAGTTGATTGATGAAATAACAAATAACTTCAAAAATACTTTGATTAGTTTTAAATGGAACATGCGGAAATTTTGATTCATTGCCAATCGGGATTCCTATTAGTAATTCTCCCAAGTGACATTCTTTCCCTTATAGGAAAAACATAGTACTTTTTTAGCAAGTTTAAGTCAGGAATACCTGACACTCTAGGCGCCTCTCGTTTCAAGAGTTGCATTTTCAGAAAAAATATTTTTATGCATTGCCTAATATCTTCTTTCATGAACTACAAGAATAAGTCACATTCCATTCAAGAATTGGAAAAAAATTCTTTTCGGAAATATTTTTACTCCCATTTTTTTGTTTCAGAGTTGCATTCTGGCGAAGCAGATCTCAGAACAGTGTTTGGCTTCTGCCACAGACTAGGAGATACGAATAATCAATAGAGATAAGTGATCCAAATGAGGAAGAGAAGAAAGAATACCGACCGCAACCGAGACCATCAGGTAGTATCGTCCGCAACCGATTCGAACCAGGAGTTTTGATGTCGATATCAGATGAGAGTTGTGTTCACCATATTTTCAATACCTGAAGTCACCCTTCTTAAGATTATCTCACGATAGTCACCTTTATGTCTGAGTTTGAGACACGACAGGTACCCTTACGAGGGGAGAGTATCAACTCGACGTCTGTGAATCCTCTCTGCAGCGGAGGTTGTTGTCAGCTGGGTTAGGTATATACAGTGTCTTTCATAAAGAGAACATTGTTGCCTATCTGTGTCATTTTTTTTTATGAACTACAAGAATATGTCGCATTTCATTCAAGAATTGTAAGCAATATTATTTGGATACATTTTATTTCCTTTTCTCAATCACATCTTCTTGTTTTAGCGTTGCACTCTGGTAGTAGATCAGAGAAGAACAGTGTATATGGCTCTTGCTACAGATCAGGAGGAACGAATTGATAGAGAAGCCATCCAAAAAAGAAACAGAACAAACAATACTGACCGAGACCAGAGCAGGAGTTAAGCACAGATTTTTCCAATCCTTGGAGTCGCTGTCTTGTCTTGATTATGGAAGGTGATATATTATACAAAATATCACGATAGTCACCTTTATGTCTCAGTGGAGACGACAGGTACCCTTACGAAGGTAGAGTATCAACTGGGCGTTTGTGAACCCTGGCACCTGGTGGGTTATGTATATAAGGTATCTTCCATAAAGAGAAGATTCTTGTCTATCCGCTTCATTTATTCTTTGATAAAAATCAAAGACTTGTCGCATTTATTCAGGTACAAAAAATTCAATAATCACTCAGAATTGTGCCGGTTTATTGATTCTTAATAACCTGTTGCATGGGTTGCGTACAAGAACTGTCAGATGACCGATCCTGGAGGTGAAACAATGAAACACAACCTCAATTTTCTTACTTGCTCACAAGTGATTGGAATAGTTTTTCACAATTATTTTAGCATACGAATCGTGTTTTTTGGATATTTATTAATTCAAGCATGCCATATCACATTGTGCTGTTGTACAATGTACAAAAAATGCAGCGGGAGACGAAGGAATCCGGTTGGTACATTACCATTTAAAAGTAAGTACCTACCTACTATAGTCACTCACATATAGTGTTCATTTTGAAATCTGGTAATTTCTCTGATTTCTCATCGGAATTCCTGCTGCAATAGGAGCTAATCGAAACTGATGCAAGAAGATTGCATTCAGGCAATCAAACGCTAGGACTGGTCTGACATGCTGACGAAATATGATCGTGTGTGTTGTAGACATTTTCAATCTATTTGCAGTATTATAGCTTCTATTGCAGAAGTTGCAGAAGGAATTTTAATAAGAAATGACAAAATATCATAATGAAAACTATGTGAGAAAACTATATTTACCTGCAAAAACATATTCCTTCGTCTCTCGCTGCATTTTTTGTGTATTTTACAAAAGCACAATGCGAAGGCATGCTTGAAATAAATGAATGGCGCGAAATACACAATATTATGAAAAACTATTTCAATCCTTTGATTCCTCTGTAAAAATAAAAAAGTGAGGTTGTGTTTCAATGTTTCACAGAAGAGTGAGGTTATGGTTACATTATTTTACCTCCAGGGTCGGTCATCGTGCACGCGACCTATTCCATCAATGCAGATCAGAGAAGCACGGCGTTCGCCTTCTGCCACAGATTCAGAAGATCATTGAAGAAGGAATTGGAAAATTGAACGGACTCATGAACACCTACCAAGGCGAGGGCACCAGATCAGGCTCACGACTTATGACTACGGAAATGGTGATTCCGAGGTACCCTAGCTGCATACTCATGAATCTTCAACTTGTCTTTGATTGTATCCTCTTCACTTTTCAGTTTTTAATCTTTTTTATCGGCCATTCTCGGTCAGTTATTCTTTTTTCGTTCTCTCCGCCTGAAGCCCAACCTCACCATAGTGCGGGGAAGACAAGCCGCGGCTGCTCGGCAAATTGAGCATTTTGAGAACATCTGTGCTCTCATCCGTCAGATGATACAGTTTCGTGGACATCTGAGTGCAAGGACGGGACAATTCTGCTTATGTGGCCGCGGGTTGATAACGAGGTTCTTGGCAACCTAATCCAAGTTGTGGGAACCTGTGACGAGAGATGAATGCCACCGAGGTTATTATAATATGGTGTCGATATAACGGGATCTCTAGGAAACAAGACGACATCTCAGAGTGAACAGCCTTAACCCTTATTAACTAAAGGGGGCACCACAGGGCTGGACCAATAACCCCTTCCCCCATTACTCATAGGAGAAGGAAAACTTTTGACCTGCTTCATGGATATGAGACCAGGGCTCGGAAGAGTAGTCTTCAGAAACCTGAATGAAAAGGGCCTTTCAAACGAACTTTCTGGTAGGTACTCAGCAGAGCAGTGCTCACAGTTACTGTGGCACCGGCATCTGAAGTGGCCCTTACATAAGAACCATGAGTCATATATGGTAAAGTTACTGTTTTATGAAAACCCTCCCTACGAGTTACCTAATATCGAACAAGTTTGAGTGTGTGATGGAAACCATCCATATCCTTCTCAAAGTGGTCCAGATTTATTCAAAGAAATAACAAAATAACACCGTACGGTGTTATTTGTTTTTTCTTTGAAGTTTGAGTGTGTTCGCTAATTTGTTCATAGAAAAAAAAACTGAGAAATAAGGAATAATATATGTCTGTCTTGCTCAATTTCCTCTCAAAGAAGACCAAAATAGATGAGACCACTTCATAAATAAAAAAGTTGTTTTTGCTAATCGATAAACAAAATTTTGTTTTTTTGGACAACCCTATATACTTATATCTACATTCATATTCTGAAATAAATATTCACATTCAATAACTATTACAACTTCTAGAATTTTATTCGTCAAATCATAATTACAAACAGTGATAAAACCTTTCACAGGTTGGTGATTTGGGTGATGTAAAGTCCGTTTACAATATGGCGAAAGTTTCTAACAGGGCATTTTTTCGTATGTAAGATCGTACACCAATCAAAACAAACAATAACACATGCAAAAATTATATCCTGTTTTGTAAGTTGTTTGAGTTGAGAGATGAAAATATTTCCTTTCTTATATCTAAAATAAATAACCAAAAAATATTTATTCACTGAAAATCACAATCGTATAAATACGAATGAGTTATAGGAGTTGATAATATATATCAAATATGAAATGAAAAGCATTCGAACCTGAATGAGGAAAAACGAAACATTGTTCAAGAGGTGTTGTATTCATGAGAGGAAAATTTGTGATGAGTTCTACAAGATCAATTTTTATATTATGCCAAAATTCACGAATTTTGTCCATATTCAGGTTTGAGAATATTTCGAGATAGTTCGTGTGAGAGAGTGTGAATTCAACAGGTTCATATTATAGATGAAACATCTTCATTGGATCATGCTGCTGTGGTAATACTATATATATTTTTCAAAAGTGCAACATTGTACTAGCTCTCACTTACAAAACCCAAGTTTTTTGAGAGCCTCTTCTATATCCTTATAGACAGTTGGATCAACTACTGTTCCAGAAATCTGAAAATAGGGCTGAATTAATATTCTAGTCATATGAGGTGAATAATAAAAAAACTATTACAGGGTGTCCGTGTTTCGAGCTCCACCATGAAGAACTCAGTTATTATAAGAGATACGAGGTCGGTTAAATTAGGGCGAGATGCGCATTTTCGTGCTGAACATTTATCTGCGAACGAATTTGATGTGTCATTTTTAGTTTTTGAATTATTGGAAGAAAACGAAAATTATACTTGTCGTTTTAATTTTTTCACGCGAAAACCAACAAACCTAGACGTTTCTGACTAGAGTTATTTCAAACGATTACGTAGATATTCGCGTTCTACGTTTCCATATTCTCAATGAGTTTGACATAGAAAGAAGTTTTCATATTGCGAACACCCATTGAGCAACTTATTCGAATGCAAAAGTTACCATCCCTGGCCGTTTTTGTGCACTTCTCTGCATATATGATCTGTCCGATGGACTATTTCTTCATTCACCTTTTTCAGTTTGTTTCTGGCGAGGTCGGCAATTGACTTCCTACATATTTTTCCTGACCTGGTGAGAGGGAGGGCTCTTATCGATATGGCCAATTTGAATGCTGCTACTGGGCCCATATTTTCTCGTACCATGCATACCAATTCTTTAGCTACAATGAATTCACTAAGGATGGCATCTGCAATACAAACAAATAACAACATGTAACAGCTGAAGATGAAAATTGTTCGTATATGCCCTTATTATTCATCATTCAAAACTACTAATGTATAGAATTCTCTTTGGGTTTATATTCATCAAATAGGTAAGTTTCAATTATTACCTACTCACCATCTTTCAATACGAAAAGACATAAGGGGACCTCATTCTTGATTTCATCAGGTACAGAGACAACACAGGCCATCGCAATGTCCGGATGAGATAGAATTATATTTTCCAAGGCTAAGGTAGATAATCTATGGCCAGCTACGTTGATAACGTCGTCAGCCCTTGCTGTTACGTAAAGCAAACCATCTTTGTCCATATAACCAGCGTCCATTGTGTCATAATAGCCCTATTCAATAAAATTTAGGTTTACAAGTTGATGTTCAAGAAACACCGTTTTACTTTTTATATACTCAAGTGTGTACCATTTTATTTTCATCTATTGAATTAATTGCCACAATTCCAATGATACATGAATTAAATTCCTATGAATAATAATATGGTTGTTGACATCCAACGGCAATGGTCTTTTCGTTCTACAGCGGTAGATCGCTATAATGAAAAGGACGATTGTATTCAGGGTGGCCGAAATTTCATAGAAATAATTTGAACACTGATTCTACGACCAATAAGGATAGTAAAAAAAGTTCATGTTAACATGAATAAAAAAATGGCCCCCAGGGGGATTATGGCCATCTAAAAGGCCATATTTTCGGAACCCTTAGTGATACAATGAGCAAAGTTCGTACATGTATCTAACATTTTATAATCGATTTGGAAATGTTAAGAATTTTCAGAAATTACGTTCAGGGGCATGGGAAATAGATGGGGCTAGGGGCTCTTTTTCTCTTTCAGTTTCGAATTGAATCGATTCTGCTAGTTAATAAAAATAGTGTTTTTTCCTTAATATAGGATACCATATTTTTCCAAAAATTATGGTTTGAAGAAGAATACTCTCCTATACTTTTGACATATACTCTTGATGTTTGATATTGGGGGTGTAATAAAAATAATAACTTGAAAAATAATGGTAGGTACCCTATTGGGAAAACGTACTAAATTGTGAGTGCTATCTAAATTAAACAAGAGTACCATTTTTGAGTAAACATGATGATATTTTCGTAGAAACTAAGAAATCGGGAGAACAAGAATTCCTAGCGTCACCTATTTCCCACGTCTCTGATCAAAATTTCAGAAAAATCTCAACATTTTCTAATTGGGCATTAAAAACTTGTACAAATGTTTGGTTATTTTATCACTGAGGGTTTCCAAAATATTCACAACACAACATCATCTCTTCCTCTTCAGATGGCAATAACCCCGCAGGGAGCCATTTCTGGAGCTATATGTTTATATTAACTTTTTCTACTAATTCTGTTTTCTATGTAATTTCGAGACCGAAATAATTCGCTGGACCGCATCAAGGAATTTAAATTATCATATAATATTATCATGACCAGAATTTATCAACAAACGATTTTTTCCATCAACCTTACAAAATCAGTTCTTCAACAGAAAATATTGATGTTCAAACGGCTGACGAATTTGAGTGTTACATGAATAAAAAATGTTTCATCCAAAAGCTCAACAATATTCAACATTTCAAATATGTCACTTTGTAGTGATTATTCTTAAAATTTGGAGAATCATTGCCTCCCAAATACAACAATAATATATGAATTGAGTGATGAAGGAATATGTTACGTCAATATGAATATTCACAGACTAATTCATTACAGCTATTGAAATTCATTTCGTCGTGTTTACGACACATATATTTTCAAGAGACAATTCAATTCAAGAAGCATATAAAATCAACAGTCAGAAATAAGTATACCATATAGAATCAAGATTGAGTTTATCCATTATTGGAAATAATTATTGTTGAATTCGTGGGTAATTTGAATCCAAATGTGATATGTGAAGGTATCTTTTCATCCACTATTTGTATTTTGTAATTGTTGTTGTAAAGGTTGAGAGTTGAAAAACAGCTTCTGATGACACTCCACCTCTCCACCAAACATCTTTCGGTTTGATGAATAAAGTCGATTTATTCTTATTATTTATCAAAATTCAGCGCAAGAAATAGCTATATGGCGTTCCATTCCACAGTACATGAGTTGCAATTTGAAATTTTTGAGTTATATTGAATGACCAGCGATCAAAAATATACAGAAATAGTTTTTTTGTAATTTAGACATTCAATTTGACATTTTTCAAAAGTGACGAGAATTTGAAAGTTCTTACTTTTCGTAATGGGTCACTTTACGCAATAGGTTGCGTAAAGTGAAATATTTCATAACTGGTAGTACTTCTCGTACGGTGTATAGAACGCGGAGTACTCTCGTCGAGTACGATTGCATTTCTAATTTTGACATGTAAATTAACACTTTCCAAAACAGACGCAAGTTTTTAAACGTCTTACTCTACGCATCCGGTTGTTATATAAAGTAAAATATTACATAAAGGATAAGATTTCCACGAAATACTTAATCACACGACATGTTTCGCTAACACATTAGCTTCATCAGGTGAAAAAGTGGTACAAATGAAATAAACTAACCTTGGCTTGCCTAACTTTTATATATCCTACTTTCCCAACTTGAAGGATGAGAACAACCTGTGGAAAGATTCGATAATCCTTCATTTTCGGAAAATAGGCACAATATCTATGAAATACGGTGTACCAGATTAACTTGAAAGGTTTGCAAATACATATTATTACATAACTAAGAAAACAAATTCAACAGTGGTGAACTATCGAGGTCTGGACCTGACTAATTATGCAAAATATAAGATACATTCCATGTTGAAAATCGAACAAATTGGAAACAACATCGAGTTCGCTACTTCAAAAAAATTTGAATATTATTCATTTAAATCCTTATATATTTTATTTTTATGATGTCCCCGATAGTATACCATGAACTTCCTCTAAATTATAGGTATTTCGATGCCATCCTTCAAAATTTTCATCAACTATATCATCAGAAAATGAAATGCAACCAAAGTAAGAGAACAGTACGTACCTTATCTAAAAATAATAATGATAACTTTATGTATTGGATATTGGCTCACCTTAAGTTTGGTGAAATACGTTTTCACGAATCTTTCATCTGCCTTGTATAAGGTTGATAAAACTCCTGGCGGCAGAGGCAGCTTGATGGCTATCCTACCAAGTTCATTTATATCTGCGTCTGTCCCATCTTTTCGTAAAACTCGTACTACATACAAAATGGAAACTTTATTAGCATGGCAAGAATTCTCAGGTGAAAATCAATATTTGGTCTTTTGGAGGTTTGGAATATCAATATTCATACGAAAAAAATCATGAGTAGAATCAATAATCAATCAACGAATCAATCCTAATGTGAATGACATTTATTATATTTCGAATATGGAATAGTATGTCCCATATGAATGACATATTTTCTGCAATGGGGGAGCGTGTCATTACATCCACATTTCGTTACTCCCACATCGCGTTGTTCCCACATTTCGATATGCCCACATTTCGTTAGCCCCACATTTCGATACACACACAGTCTCCGAACATACCCGAAGGGAGCACTGTTGCCAAATACTATCCTATTTACCAGAATTCAATGAAGCTGTCATTGTGGGCCTATCGACAAATTGCGTTACACCTACATTTCGTTACACCCACATTGCTTTATGCCCACATTTCGCTATGCTTACATTGCGTTACACCTACTAAAGTTGATATTCGATGGACTGGATATCGACTAAATCTGTCCCTGACAATCGATCTCTCGAAAGAGCCGCTACCTCAGCAATCAGTGGCTAAAGTCTATTTGAGCTGTAGGACAAATATGGACAACTTTATGGTTTGAATCCAAAATATCAAATATTCACCACAGTTCACAAGTAGTTTCGTCAAAAAGTTAGTCATTCACATTTTCTGTCAATAAGTGGACGAAGCAAAAAATTATACGAGATATACAGGGTATTTCCAAAATCAAAGCGATGAATGATGTGGGTAGTAGAAGATATGACGAAACGAAGTCAAAGTATGAATACGAATACATAAGTAGTTTTGGGGAGATATCACATTTTGAAGTATAACTGAAATGTTTGTGAATCATTGATTAGAGGTAAACAGCCGAACCTGAGCGTTTGCTATCATCGAGGCCAGAAGCATATTGCAAGTATCAATGACTTTTGCAATGTTGAGTAACAATGATTAGATAAGTGAAGTAACCACCCAATGTGACTCACTTGACAGATTATTATAATAATATGAGCAAGTAGATAGAAACAAGGCCACAGACTACTTCACTTGGTCACAATTTATATTGACATCCATCATGTCAACAGAGAGAACATCATTTTTGGGTCCTAGGAGTTATAGTTCAACTTGAGCTCCTAGGAACGAAAAGTGTGGCCTAGCAACATAGGTACCTATTTTTGTGATTAAAATGAACGACTTTCGAGTCGGTTGCAGAAAAACGGTATTCTTTCTACCGATGAAAAAATTTAAGAACTGTCAAATTTGAATGATGGGGGATGTATTTTTTTATGCATGAATCAGTTGAGAATTAACATTATTATTACCTTGTATATTCTTTTCTGGAATTAAAATTCGAAATTCTATCTCTTCCACTGATAATGAGATATACTTTGAATATAAAAAATGCCATAAGGTTCAGAGTAATTTTTCCGATCTCCCTTACAGAATGAGCACGTGCTGCTTGTCGGCTCAACGTGAAAGAAACCCGCTTGACATAAAAATCAAAAAATCCCAAGTCATTTATGTTGTATTTTTATGTTGTATTTTTATGTTTTTTATATCTATTCGTTGAACTATACCCCACCTTATGTTATTCTCCCACGCTAGAGTAAATCCCAATATCACCGCTTGGGCTCCCCTACCCTTAAGAATGCTTATCATCAAAATGTTCGAAATTGAATCTTTCAAACTCCCACAAGTTTCAATGATGTTATTTGGGATGAGATTGAGAATTCTATCAAAACGAATACAAGATTTTCTGAAAATCATATAAATTTGAAATGATGAGAATTTCGAAGAATCGAATAGTAGAATGACAAAAGAGAATGATGAGTACTCATCATTACTTAGAGCCTACGACCACTGAACTTACGACTCACCATTATATCCTGGTAATGGTAGACCAGTTGTAAGTGCTGTGGCTGTACATGGGTTCTTCAACCCAGCACACATCCCAGTGATGGCAGAGCCAGTTTCAGTTTGCCACCAGTGGTTGATGACTGGTACTCCGAATATTTTTTTAGTCCACACATACGTGTTGAGGTCTAGATGTTCCCCAGCCAACCATATTTGCCTCAGGCTCGACAGGTCGTATTCGGTTCCATATTTTCCTTCGGGATCGGCTTGTTTCAGGACTCTCATGGCTGTGGGAACTGTGAAGATGCCGTTAACGCCATAGTCACTGATTATTCTGCAAAATTGATCTTTTGGAATGTCATATTCGTCGATAGATGTTGAAAACGCAAACTGAATGTATCGATATAATAACATCTCTGTATATCAGTGTTGGAACATTGTTCGTTAAAGAGAGGTTTATTATACATTATATTTCTATAGTTTAACCCTCTCGTGCATAATTCAATTTGAAAGATTCAGAATGATTTTGAAAATCATTGATCGATTTATTAGTATGGTAATAAATTGACAATAATAAATATTGACCAAACTCCTCGATTTTTCTCAAAAACACCAAGAAACTAATGGTCCACTCTAGTGGACATGCATTTTCACAAAGACAGGGTGAGTCATATAACCAGCCATAGCCTACTAGCGGATAGAGAAAGCCAAGATGAGTTGATATATACAAGGTGTTTTTGAAATAAGTGCAAATATTCAGCACATTAATATGATACAGTCTAAGGAATATTTCCATGCTATCAGATTTACATAAGAAAATTCAGGTGCGCCACTTTGAAACAATTTAAATGATTGAACTTCGCGTGATTGTGCCTACCGCATGGAAATTTGAACAGAGGTGACGTCAGATTTGCTACAGTGTAGAACTTTGGGTGGAAAAATAGGTCTAACCTCAAATTTTATTTTGATCCCTACATTTTTTCAATAGTGCCATTCGATAGTACACATCGAGCTTTCTCATCAGTGTTTGAAATATCCGCACTTATTTCAATGCCACCCTGTATATGTGAAGAAACATATTCCACCTATATTCGTGATAGAAATACATGGCATTATTTGAATTCAGACCGAAACTCGTTATTATTATTATCGTAAATAAAATCCAGAGCCGGACTTGGGCGACTCAGTTTGTTTTTAGATGTCAAAATGTTGACCTTCTGGATCATATTTTTTGAAAACTATTATTCGAAGCACGAAAAACGCTGGTGTGTGGCTCTTCAATTTGTGTGGTACACTTTCACCGATTTGGTAAAATAATATGAAAACAAATTTTAATGAATATTTCTTCGATTTCGTCCTGGCACATTACCTACGTCTGGAAAGAAATACAAAACAATTATAATTTATGAATCCTCCGGGATTTCGAGAATTGCTTGGGCTCAAACGAAAAGTGAAATAATCAGAACATGAAATGCATGGCCTCCACTAGGTTGGACATATAGTTTCTGACTGAGGCACAGTGAAATATTTTGTTATTATATATTTTCATTGCTAATTATGGGTTACAATAATCAAGATACAGATTTATCAATCTTAACTAGCGCCTCCATAAAATGTTCTGACAGGAACAACATTGACGCCTTCAGCAACCATTTTAGATTAGCGCAAATACGATTCAACATAAAGAATGAACACCTGATTTATTTTCCAGAAGTTGGAGATAGGTCAAAATACGTCTAATATTCCCAACCAGAAATGGTTTTTGATAAAACATGGAATGTGTCCATTGTTTACAACTACTTATTCCTCCTGTCCACTGTAGTAGGCATGAGAGGGTATTTGTAACAATTTTTGGAAAGTCATAATTTATGAATTGCGCTGATTTACAAGATCAAAAAAATAACTCAAAATATGTTTTATATACCAATAAGGTACAGAAGACATTTTTTCATCTCTTGGAGCGCACGAAAGGGATACCTATAATGTACGAAGACATCGTGCGTACCTAGGGAGGAACAGAGAGGAGAGGAGCTAGGTATTGGAATATTTTTGAACTTTGGAGGATAAGTTCTTGGGAATACTTCTAGGCAATTTAGGAACAACAGAAAAATTTGTTTAAATTCTACATGAACAGAACTTGAGAGTTGCTTATAATAAGACTAATAAGAGATAAATTATGTTGGAAAGATTGATAAGAAATTATAAAGACACAAGTCTTGATTCGAAATTAGTTAAGGAAAATCAACAAAAATATATAAATTTAAATGAACATTACTAAAAAAAAAAAAAAGGAAGGGAAACAAAGAAATAAACCACTTGAATTCAATTTCTTTTTTGATGAAAGCATTTTTTTATTTTTATTTTGAATTCAGTAATATTCCTAGATTTTTTTATGTTCTGTGGTAGTTCATTAAATTTTGAAAGTGCTCCGTGCGTAAATCTCTTTTGTATAAGTAAGGGCAAGTCAATGTTAGGTTAGTTTATTTTACGAGTTGTTATTTTACTTGAAGAAGGTTTGGAAATATTAACATTTGTGAAGATTTTACCATTACCATGAATTTCCATTATGTAACTGATGCAGAGGCGATTCAGATTTCAGAATTCAAAAAATCATGTTGGGATCTGCATCAATCACTACGTATAGTAGAAAGACAAGTTAGTTACCTATAGTACGAACTGGGATCTGGGGTGGTGGTAGGTTTTCCTTCATAAACGATGGTGGTCATACCGAGACAAAGTGGACCGTAACACATGTAAGAATGACCGACTACCCAACCGAAATCACTTGTGGCCCACCAGGTGTCCTCTGACGTCATTCCATATAATGTTTTCAAGGTGTATATGAGCATCGGTAGATGGCCTCCTATCGGCCTTGTGATACCCTTTGGCTCACCTATAAATCAGAAGTATAGGTACAACGTCTCAGTACTTGGGATATTGACAAAGTCGAAAAAGCTGAAGATTCAATTTTTTTATTCATACAATTCAACGTGATTTAATGGAATTGGCAGTTGATATCATACTTCGTCGTGAGTCAGCAAGAATCTTTAAGCATTCACTTTGGAAGAAAGCATCTCAAGACGAAACACTTTTGGTTTATTGAACATCGTCTTGAAGGCGATCAGAAAGTTTGAAACTAGGGATGAGTCCTAAATCTTGATTCATCAAACCGATTTTATCTCAAGTGAGTAATATGTTCTTTGAATCTTGTGTTAAGGCTTCTATGAGTTTGTCCAATATATTTCATGTTACACTTATCATTTTATTGATAATTCAATGGATATTGTTATTACCAGTTGTTCCGGAAGTGTAGAGTATATACAAGAGATCATTAGAGTCCACTGGTATACAGGGTGCGCTTTCAGCGTTTTTGATGGACTCTTCCCAATCCATATCTCGAACTGGATCCAATTCACCAATTTCCACACCCTTCCTTTGGAAAATTATACATTTCGATGGTTTATGAGTAGACAGATCGATTGCTTCGTTGAGTTCATCAATATAACTGGAAAAAAATCTTCATAAAAGCATCGATCTAAACTTACCTAATATGTTACTAGATGTGTCATATTCACTAAACGGATCGACAGATTCTAATCCGGTTGGTTTTGTTTCTCATATTTTCTCACTCATACCTTACCGACTGATAAAAACAACCAATGAAAATATTGAAAACATAGATGTGTAAAATCGAAGTATCTTGGAAACAACTCGAGAACTATAGACACATTTCTTCGAAAAATACATTTTTTGTATTGTATTCAGTGATTTCATAGCCATGCACGAGTATAAATTAGTAGCTAGTAGGCGATCATTGGTGGATTGGTCTATTCACAGACAACATATTTCGGAAAATTCTATATTGGGGTCTAACTGAAAAAAAGCCATAGAAAGACTCACTTTACAATACGACTTGGTTCTAATCCGCAACTAGCGGCTATTATAACTTTAGGCTCGGCATGTTGTATCCTTGTACATAATTCACTAGCTGCAAAACCTGAAAATAAGTGTGTCTCTACATGTCTATTGTAAAATTATACAGTGAGAATATAATTATTCCTTCTAGTAGAGTGAGAGTGTATTAAATATTGTTAGATCTTGCTTACCTCCGAATACTACAGAATGAACAGCTCCTAATCTAGCTACAGCTAACATTGCCATAATTGTTTCTGGAATGAGAGGCATGTAAATGACTACTCTATCGCCTCTACTTACTCCTAGTCTTGCCAAGAGTCCTGCTAATTTTGAAACCTTGAAAAATAAGGAAGAAAATCATTCAGCAGTGATGAACATATTTTCACAAAATGGCATTTGGAACAGGACGAAATCGATGTCCAATAATGTTTAAATGGAATACGAGATCACTTAAAATTGTGAATTTTTTTTTTAATGACTTCTAATCATACCTTTTCGAATAATTCAGAATAGGTGATTTCTCTGACAATTCCAAGTAGGGGAGAATCGTATATTAAGGCGACCTTTGCCCCCTTTCCTGCTTCAATATGTCGGTCTACTGCATTATAGCAAGCATTCAGTTCGCCACCTACAAACCTAGGAAGAATACATCATGTGAAAAGTTGCAAGAGGTTTCTCAATGATATACGAATATTCAAAAGTATGATGCAACTGGGAACATTATTGATAGTTTGCTTCATAAACAGTGATCCGAAAATGTATTATGTGAAATACAGTACAAGATTGCTTGTACTATATTTCGTTAATATCGCCTTCAAGTAGATATTCTGGACATGAGCTGAGTGATAGAGAAGAGGAGACCACTTCCTGAAATCGATTAGTTTGACTCTCAGTGTAGGAATATCATACCTTCAACCTTCAACATGTTTGAGAAATTCACCACCAGAATCCATGCCACTATTAATAATTATAATATTTGGAGGTGAATTCATGACAATCGTTTTCTCAAAATGTTGTTTTCCCTTATTTCCTGGCATATCAGTATCATTGGTTCCATTTACTACTTCTAGTGAATTATTCATTTCTTGAATTTGATTCTTTTCATGTTCTGGTTCCCACGTAAGGGATATCCTGCAATGTTCAGAGAACATCGTCAGAACCAAGGGAAATATAGTAGGAATTGGTGTCCTTCTCAAATTTCTGCAGGTTATATATGCCACGGAGAACACCTTCCTTGGCAAAGTGTTCCAGAGCCTCGCTGTTCGTTGGATGAACAAGTCTTTGGAAAGAGATATGTACTGTAGGTCTTCAAAGTGACCACGAAGGGGTGCGAAGCCTCAACTCGACGGGTCAATCTCGCGGGGACTGCCAAGGGAGGAACAATTGTTGATATTCCAGAATAGCATAGTCCTTGAAAATATCTACATATAAAATAGAGCCAGATCATCAACTTTTCTACGGTGTTCCAGAGAAGTGAGTGAGTTTGTGAGCGAGGCATCACTCACGAGACGAATTGCCCTTTTTGGACAGAATCCAACAATTTCAGGGTATGTTTGGGTGCTGCACTCCATCAAATATGGGAACAGTATTCCAGGACAGGTCGGATCTGTGCCTTGTAGATCATAAGCACCTGATTGGAAGTGAAATAGCTCCTGACCCGAAACAGAAAACCAAGTGTTTGGGATGCACTTTTAGCAATTGATCTCACGCGATATTCCCAAGAAAGGTTATTGCTGATAGTAATACCAAGCATCGATATGGATGTCCTCAAAGGTATGGTTACTCCTGACAAGCTTATGTTGGGCACAGTGAGATCGGCTTTTCTAGAAAAAAGGCGCATGCTTCTGTTTTGTTTGCGTTGCAATCTACAAATTGACAATTTTATAAACTGAGAAATACGAAATATCTATTATATGCATATAAACTTCGGATATTCCAATTGGATAATTCAAACTTCTAGACGCATTTTGATCCAAGACCAAGACTATCAAGACCAAGACTGAGCCAGCGGGGTTAATTTCACACATAAGGTACTTACTAACCATTTTGTGAAAGGCTCATACGTATTATCCAATACCCTTTTCCAGGGTTTCGACCATGTTACGAGTTGTCCAACTTTCGCCCAAAATCTCTCTGGATGCTGAATCGACTCTGCGAATACTGTTTCATAGTTGCCTTCTGCAAATGGATTGGAAGATTGTCTCACTGAAAAAAAAAAGTTAATGAAGCCACGCGATTACGGATATTTTGGTATAACGACAAAAGAAGGCATCATGCTGAAGCCAGATGGAGAATAAAAAGGTAAATAAATTATAATAATTCTTGATCACTTTGAATTCACCGAATTTCGAATGGATACCTAGCTCTTGTTTCAGCGAATAACACCTCGTATAGTCTTTCACGACAAAATAAAAATATTACTAATATTATAACTGCTTTTATCGATTGTCAAATTTTAAAGAAATTGAACCCTTATAGGTTGATATCCGAAAAAAATAAAAAAATACATACTTTCCTCTCTGAAATCTTCAATCATTCAAAGGATTTGGTGATCGAGGTACGAGGCCCATAGACACACTAGATTGAGACAAATAAATGGTTGGCATTTCCATGATTTTATTGACCATCGGAATTGAAAATAGCAAGCGTATCATCAATAATCCAGTCAGCATTTACAATATTATCTGTGCTGTTGGAATTATTTTCCATATTATCGATGGGCCACTGCCCAAATAAATAATAATTATCGATATCAGAGACTACTGAATAAATCTTTGAAGGCAGAAGGGTGTAATTCGATGCATTTGCCATGGAAGGCAATAAGGCGCTAATAAGTAGTAATGAATTTTTAGATCAACAATATTCACATAAAAATCATTGAATCTGATATCCCAGATACGTAATGGGCGTGTACACCTTAGTAAAACTTTTAACTCAAACCATGTTTATAATGATCCATTTATACATAAATAATGATCGACGACATAATTCGATCGAAAAATTAACTGGAATGTTTTATTTTTGGACATGAATAATAGTACCTTCTGAAAACGGACCATCTTATGACGTAGAAACCTCATCTCGCCATAGTTAATGGAAAATACCAAACGCCCGACGGAGACTGAGGCAACTGATATATTAATTCTTTCAACTGTGATCTCGCGCTAATTCACTCTGTCAGAAATCATGTTTCATTCATTTCTGTCTGGAATAGTCTTGTTTCAGTATTAGGGTTCTGACGTCACATCATCGCCTTGTTTTCAGAGGTCCGAAAAATCGGGGATTTCCATAATTTTTTATAAAACGTAGGGAGCTCACAGCAAGAAACGGTTTGCGGTGGTGAGCTAGTTTGGGTGAGTTCTATCGAATTATGAGATGAAAATTTTTTGTGATATAAGCCCATTGATCGTACCCATGTTTGATAACCAGAAAGTGTTATGGTCATTGGATCCAAAAAATAGTGTAGAATTCAAGTACATAATATATTGAGAATGCTTTCCCACATAAACTCTAATATTGAAACACTAGCATAAAGAATCGAACGTTGAAACTGTGGTGGTGTGCTTCGATTTTTCATAAACATATCAACTGCTATTCCACTTGAATCGTCATTGGACAACAAGAGGAATCTGATTACATATCAAACATTGATGTATCTCATCACCGAATATATAAAAACCAACCAAAAGAATTTGAAGAGAATAAGAAGAGTTAAGTGAAGTAATTAAAAAAAAGCTGATTACCTTTGACATCCTGTATAGCCAGAACGATGCAACAATTTGAATAACTGTGATTATAATAATATGATGCAAAAAAATCCCAGACAATATTAATCACGATTACTGTTTGAAAAACAATTCTCTATAATATATTATATACAGCGAGCGATACAAAAAATTTGGTGTTACATGAATCATATTGACATGCACTGAAAAAAAAACATAAAAACAATGGTCCTCAATCATGCCACAGTTAAAAGAATATAATATTGTATATTCTTTTAACTGTGATCATGCCTTTATGATTTATCCATATAATGGAATGTACATCATCTAAATGATTACAAGCATTATCACCCTGTGATTCTGTTCATCAGGAACTGTGAATGAATTTAATAATGTAATGAATTTATATGCTGTTTCAATGAATTTTATTCACATTCACATGAATTTTTCTATCAATATCACAATTTCATATTCATGAAAAACATAACATCAATGTATCATGTTAATACACTATTAACTAGAATCCTTGCACTGATATCTGAAGTTTTTTATATAGTTATCAAGAAATCACATCATTCGGATGGTGTTATACAGGGTGTCCGCTAAAAGGAGGTCAATCCATTAACCATATATTCCTTGAATAAAACCAATATGAGTTTCTAAATACCAGTTTTCATTTTATAGCACTTTATATTCGATATACAGGGTGTCAAAGTCGGAAATTGAAAACTGTTTTTTTAATTACTCGCGTATTCAATAGGATATTAATCTCAAAATTGGTACATTACTTCAACACAAAGAGTTTCATCGTATGAGGAGAACCAAACAGAAAATATCTGTCAAATATTCAAAATTCTGGGGGTCAAGTACACACTTACCCCCATTTCTTTTTGCACGTGCGCTAATGCCTTTCTATCTACTTTTCTTCAAGTGTTCAATCATTTTTGCGTATTTTTTGTCTCTTGTAAAATTTCGATAAAATTATAGGTTTTTAGTATAATTCGAAAAGTACTGGTTATTGTTTGATGCCTATGCGGCTAACGGTAATCTCATAATATTCACATACTCCTATTTATTTCGTCGAAATTGGAAGAGGGCGTAACTTTTTACGTACGAAAAGGTAAATATGGAAATGCCGAGTGCTCAGAGCGAATGTATGGGTTTTCGAAATCCGAAATAAAAAATATTATCTTGTTATTGATAAATTTTCATTTTGTTCGTTGTTGCTCGAGCACTAGCAGACCTGTCTTCCATTTCTTGTTGTTGTATGGTCATTAGTTTAAGTATTTATAGAATATTATTGGGTTCTTGCTCGTTTTTTTTGCACTACCTATTTTATATTTTCGTTAAATATAAGATTTTGTCAACAAATATCATGGAAACCATTTATTTTATTTTTTTTTATCGATTGGAGCGCACGAAAGGGAATCCCTATAATGTTCAAAGAACATCGTGCGTTCCTAGGGAGGATAGGGACAGGAGGTAGGTATTGGAATTTTTTTTGAATTTTTGGAGATTATATGTTGTTGGGAATACTTCCATAGGCAATGAATTCCAGAGCCTAGCCGTTCTATGGATGAAGGAATCTTGATAAAGTGCTGTTCGACATCTTTCGAGGTTGACGACGAAAGGATGTGCTGACTGGGTTTGTCTAGTTCGTCTGATTGGTATTGCTAGTGAAGGGATGATTGCAGAGATTTCCGAAGAACATTTCCCGTGGAAGTATCGATAGAAAAGTGAAAGGTCGGCGACCTTTCTACGGTGTTCCAATGATGTCAAAGAGTGAGTGAGTGTGGCGTCACCCACCAGGCGAATGGCTCTTCTCTGGATGGAATCTAAGAGCATCAGCGTATGTTTTGGTGCTGAACCCCATATGTGGGAACAGTATTCTAGAACAGGCCGTATCTGCGCTTTGTAGATCATGAGAAGCTGTTGAGGTGTAAAGTAGCTTTTCGCACGGAACAAGAATGCGAGTTTTTGTGAAGCAGCTTTTGCGATGGATCTGACATGATTATCCCATGAAAGAGTGTTGCTGATGGAAATACCGAGCATAGATATGGTGGGCTTGGTGGGGATGGTGGAGCCAGACATCACAATATCGGGCATACTGAGTTCCGCCTTTCTAGAGAAAATGCAGGCTTGAGTTTTGGTGGCGTTAAATTCAACTAGGTTGTTCGTTCCCCAGGCTGTGATTTCAGCAAGATCTTCATTGACAGCATTGACCTGCCTGCGCCGTGAGTTCTTAGTTTCCTGGGAAGAAATGGGAATTCTGGAAGAGAACGCAGTATGGAGGGTACTATCATCTGCAAAGCTGTGGATGGGGCAAGTTGTTACTCCCAACAGATCATTGATATGAAGCAGGAATAATGTTGGTGCCAAAATTGATCCTTGAGGAACGCCGGAATTGATGCCAATGGTATCAGACGATACACCGTCCACCACCACGTGAAGCGATCTGCCTGAAAGAAAACTCGATAAGAGATGGCATAGCTGAGGTGGTAAGCCGTATGATGGTAGTTTGTGGAGGAGTCCTTCGTGCCAAACACGGTCGAATGCTTTCGATATGTCCAACGCGACAGCTAGAGATTCCCCGTGTTTTTCTATTGAAGATTGCCATAAATGGGTAACGTAGGCAAGTATTATTATGTATAAGTAGGTTTGTTATTTGTAGGCTTGTTACTGACTCCATGCGCCACTTCAGGCGCTGCACTGTTGATTGGAACGTGAATCGTGAAAATGGAAATGTAAAAGTCGTTTGTTGAATAAAATTCATCTGCTCTGTCGGGATTGTATCCAGAAAGTGTTTGAAGGTAGTTTGTCATTTTATGAACTACTATAGTTCATGCAAAAAGACATAGCCACCTCTGTTATAACTAACCTAAATCCACTGTTCTGATGCGGCATTCGCAGGAATTGCAATCTAATCTAGTAGGTATTTATCAACAACGACTTGTCATAAATAACAAAACCTATAGCTCGTTTTCGTGCATACTAATGAACGGTCATCAAATGGTTGATCATGAATCGAATGCTTGAAACTCTAGTACATTATTTTCAAAATTTCAGACTAACTTTAGAGTTTAATTAGGCATCTCCCATAGCACTTATTTTTCATTCGATTCATCGCCCCTATTTCGGCGACACCCTATATGTAGTAAGTGGATCGTTGAATTCTAACGCAAACATAGCCGATTATTATCATGACTATTCATATGTTTTGTATTTCGTCTACTCATTTAGTTATTCGTAGCTTCATTGACTTCATGAAGTAATTTGAATTACAAGTGAGGATGGAAGATTAGCGCACACAATTGAAAATTTCTACCCGGAATAGGAATACCTACCTTTTTTTTTATAATTTTCCTAGAGCAGTCCGAATTTCATAAATTCGACAGCATTCCTCTCGATGACCCGTGATGATTTCCTCTATTTCAATAACTTGAAAAATGCTGCCAAATATGATAGGTAAGACTTTTCACC